ACATGCAAAAGAATGAATTTGGATCGCTATATCACACCGCTCATGAAAATTGGCAAAACGAATCATAGGTCTAAATGAAGAACTGTAAGCATAAAATTCTATGAAGAAAACACAGGAGTCAATTTCTGTGAACTTAGTATAGGCAACAGTCTCCTAGATGTGGTATTAAAATCTCAACAACAAAAGAAGAGTATATGTAAATTGGGCTTACTCGAAATTAAAACTATATTGCTTCAAATAGAACCATAAAAAAAGTGAAAAGGCAAACCACAAAAGCAACAAAACACATATAGATAATATTGTTACATACTATCCAGGATGTATGAACACTTACAGCTCAATAATAAAATAATAAAAAGTAAATAAGCTAATTTCATAAATGGGTCAAGATCTGAAAATACATTTCTTTAAAGGAGTTATACAAATGGGCAAGAAGTGTTGCTCAACATCATTAGCCATGAGGGAAATCCAAATCAAAACCACAATAAGATATTTGCAAATGACAGTACAGACAAAAGGTTGATATCCAGGATCTATAAGGAACTCCTCAAACTCAACACACACAAAACAGACAATCATATAAAAAAATGGGCAGAAGATATGAACAGACACTTCTCCAATGAAGACATACAAATGGCTATCAGACACATGAAAAAATGTTCATCATCACTAGCCATCAGGGAGATTCAAATTAAAACCACATTGAGATACCACCTTACACCAGTTAGAATGACCAAAATTAGCAAGACAAGAAACAACATGTGTTGGAGAGGATGTGGAGAAAGGGGAACCCTCTTACACGGTTGGTGGGAATGCAAGTTGGTGCAGCCACTTTGGAGAACACTGTGGAGATTCCTCAAGAAATTAAAAATAGAGCTTCCCTATGACCCTGCAATTGCACTACTGGGTATTTACCCCAAAGATACAGATGTAGTGAAAAGAAGCGCCATCTGTACCCCAATGTTTATAGCAGCAATGGCCACAGTCGCCAAACTGTGGAAAGAACCAAGATGCCCTTCAGCGGACGAATGGATAAGGAAGATGTGGTTCATACACACTATGGAGTATGATGCCTCCATCAGAAAGGATGAATCCCCAACTTTTGTAGCAACATGGACGGGACTGGAAGAGATTATGCTGAGTGAAGTAAGTCAAGCAGAGAGAATAAATTATCATATGGTTTCACTTATTTGTGGAGCATAACAAATAGCATGGAGGACAAGGGGAGATGGAGAGGAGAAGGGAGTTGAGGGAAATTGGAAAGGGAGGTGAACCATGAGAGACTATGGACTCAGAAACAATCTGAGGGTTTTGAAGGGGCGGGGGGTGGGGGGTTGGGAGAGCCAGGTGGTGGGTATTAGAGAGGGCACGGATTGCATGGAGCACTGGGTGTGGTGCAAAAACAATACTGCTATGCTGAAAAGAAATAAAAAGTTAAAAAAAGAAAGAGAGAGCATTATGCCTTAAACTCTGTTAGCAATCAAATATCACACACAAAAAATGGGTCAAACACTTTATTACATAAATCTTACAGGATTTTAAATTATTCAAATCAAGATAATTAATTTCTCTGCATTTAAATAAAATAAAATACTTTTGGCTGCTTAAAAAAAAAAGATACCACTTCACAGAGAATATAATGTGTTGAAAAGGATGTGGAGAAAATGGAACCTTACAGATTGCTTATGAAAATGTAAAATAGTGCTGCCACTTTAGAAAACAATCTACGGGGCGCCTGAGTGGCTCAGTGGGTTAAGCCGCTGCCTTCGGCTTAGGTCATGATCTCAGAGTCCTGGGATCGAGCCCCGCATCGGGCTCTCTGCTCGGCAGGGAGCCTGCTTCCTCCTCTCTCTCTGCCTGCCTCTCTCCCTACTTGTGATCTCTCTGTCAAATAAATAAATAAAAATCTTTAAAAAAAAAAAAAAAAAAAAAAAAAGAAAACAATCTACATGTCCACAAAATGAAGTTACCATATGATCCCCCAATTTCACTTCTAATTATCTCCGCAAGAGAAATGAAAACATATGCCTATACAAAAATTTATACATGAATATTCATGGCATTATTATTCACAATAGCCCCAAAGTGCAAACAACTTAAATTTCCATCATCTGATGAATGGGTAAACACAATGTGACACATCCATATCCATAAAATGGAATATCATTTAACCACAAAAAAGAATAACATACTAATGCAAGCTATAACATGCATCAATCTTGAAAACATTATGGTAAGTGAAAGAAGCCAGCCACAAAAGGTCATATATTGTATGATTCTACTCCTAGGAAATGTACAGAATTGGCAAATCTATAGACAGAAAGTAAATTAGTGCTTGCCTTTGCTGGAAAGATGAGGGGGGCAAAGGAAAGTGACTGCTAATGAGGTGGCAGAAATGTTCTAAAATTGATTGTAGTGATGGTCTCACAATTCTCTGAATACTACTAAACACCATTAAATTGTATACTTTAAATGAGTGAATTGTATAGTATACAAATTACATCTCAATAAAGCTGGATGGAAGGAAGAGAGAGAGGGAGGGTGGGAGGAAGGAAGGAAGGAATGCAAGCAAACAATGATGGACTGTAAGTAAGGTAGTGAGATTATCCCATTTACGCTACAGGGAAACTACTCTGGTTAGAGAATTGGAGGGATCGGGGCAGCTAGGCTAAAGACAGAGAGATGAGGTAGGAAGCCATTGTTATAGTCTGTGTAGAGATCCTGAAAGCCTAAACCAGGACAGAGACAATGGGGATAAGATCTAGGAATATTTTAGAAACTACCCCACGATGCCAAAATTTCTATGAAAGCAACATTCCATGTTATACATTACCGTAAATGGCATAAGTATAAATTACTATAGTCCTTGGAAAAGTAGCTTAATAACATGTTACAAAGGTCTCAGAATATTCACACTCTCTGGTCCATTTCTAAATCCCTATCTTAAAACTTTTAAAAATGTTTTAAGCACCAAATATGTACTATAGCAATTAATGAGGGAAAGCAACTTAAATGACCAGTAATAGTGGACTAATGAAAAGAAAGTGGTATATCCATATAATTGAATATTATACATTGTCAAAATATTTAAAAAGTAAAATTACGTAGGAAAATGCATGTTACAATACTAAGGAACATACACATACAAAAAATTACACACAATAGTGTGGTCCTAATGGTGTAAAAATGCCTAATAAGGAATATTTACTAACCACTTTTTCTACAAGTTATGAATTTTGTTTATATATCCACTTTTCTCTAGTTTCTACAATGATAATTTGTTACTTTTGTCCAAAAAAAATATTGCATTTACTTTTTAAAGAAAAACAACAGTCATTTCATTCTTAGATGTGAAGTTCAACTCCACAGCCATCCTTCACTCCCCCCCCTCACGGAGGGGTTCCTGGAGCCTATCTCCTGCCTGGCAGGGGTTGAGTTCCAATTCTGAGATATCTTCACCTGCACATCTCAGCTATGACCATTCCTCTGTGTCTTATTTGATTCTCAGAGAACCCCTTCAGTGCCTGTCTTTCCATGAATAAAGCCAGTCCCGCTGAAATCTGTCCTCATCTCCCACTGTAGGAAGTAGATCAGCAGGTTCCCTCTCTGCTTTGAGTGGTGGTCCTGCCAGACATTGGAGGAAGCAGGATTTGCCACAATGTGGAGCCCCACATCCCAGAAATGGGGAGCCTGTCTCAGGCCTGCCTCTTTGCACCTCCCAAACAGTGAATGTACAATGCCGGGCACTTGACACGCCCACCTGACTTGGAATGAACTTATATTTTAATTCAGTTCAGCTCATTATCGAATGTGCACCACAGTCAGACCCAGTTCTTAAGTTTGGGGGGGGTGGGGGCTGCGAGCCAAGAGAGTGGAAATGAAGGTTGGGGTAGGTGCAGGCGAACACAGAAGACGTATCAGATTAGGTCACAGCAGTAGGAAGGTTGACCACCGATGGGAAACTTCCTTCTAGGGCACAAAGCCTTCTACAAACATCTCTTTCAGGCCTTAGGCCACCACCTGTTGAAACCCGACCAATTTACTGGGCCTGGCAGCCTGCTCCCCAACTCCCAGCCATAACGCCTGGAACATGCTTGCTGTGGAGTACACATCTTTCCCAGGACTTCCAGCCAGTGGTCCCCCCTGCCCCCCGAAAAGCCATCACTAAGGAAGCCTAACTCCTTCCCCAGCCTCCCGCCTCCCCAAAGCCCGCTGACCTTCTCCAGACAACACCCCGGTGTTCAGACTTGTGTTTTCTTGTCCTGGCCCCCTCTGGCTGCCCCGCTTCCCGCAGTACACCCGCAATCTCTAGTCCCGAGAGCGGCTGGCATCTGACTCACCTCGGTGCCCACGTGCCGCTTGCCCCGGGTGACACTCAGCCAAGCCTGTGAGGAACCCAGAGCTGCCCTAAGTCTGTGTTCCAGATACCACTCTGATTATCAGCTCCGGTGTGGCCTCCTCCAAGAAGCCTTTCTGGTATCCCCAGGTGAGTCCCCCTTTCCCCTGTAGACTCCCAGAGCACCCCTAGTCTCAGAAACCATGGCATGGGTAATCGCCCCAGGCACAACCGGAACTTAGTGAGAGTAGGCACAACGTCTCATTTTAAGGGGTCGCCTAGGAGCTTCCAGGAGCCTGGCGCTGAGGCAGGAAGGAAGGATGAAGGGTGAGAACAACGAATGGGAGGCTGAGTGAGTGAATGAACGGATGCAGGGGTGAGGGGACGGCAGCCGAGGTGTCCCTAGTCCCCAGACGGCTAAAACAGATACCAAGCCCATAGGGTGAAAAGCAGGAACGCGCGACCCCTACCACGTTCCGCCGCGGGTCCCAGCTGTCTGAGCGTCAGGGGCGGGGCGGGGCGGGGCGGGGGCGGGGCCGGGGCCGGCGTTGTGGGGTCCGGGGCGGGTTGGGTCTGGCCGGGCGGAGGGCGGGGGAAGAGGCAGCTGCTAGTGCCGACGCGCGTGGACCAGCCGCACCGAGGCTCGTGGAGTTCGCGTCCTCCGCCATGCCGTCCTACACCGTCACCGTGGCCACCGGCAGCCAGTGGTTCGCTGGCACCGACGACTACATCTACCTCAGCCTCGTGGGTTCTGCGGGCTGCAGCGAAAAGCACCTCCTGGACAAACCCTTCTACAACGACTTTGAGCGCGGCGCGGTAGGGGCGCGAGGCTGGGACCGGGCTGGGGACACCCAGGGCCCCGTCAGGGAGGCACAGACCGAGCCGGGGGGCCCCCGGGACCCGTTCGAGTGGTTAGGAACCGGGCTAAGGGCATGTCCGGGACCACGTCGGGGCGGCTGGGACCCAAGTTCGGGGGCGGGAGGCTTGCAGGGTGAGGCCTGCAGCACGCCGAGCTTCTCTCCCAGGAGAAGGTGCAAGGTCTGCTCTCCATGTCACAGACAAGATTCCGAGGCTCTGAAAGGTCCCTTAACTGGGCAAGTGCTGTGGGCATGCTTGTGCCCCATTTCGTAGGGCTCCTTCCACAGGTTGTGGGGTGTGGGGGTCTGGGGGGTTGTGCGGTCCTTGCCCTGCTGTGAAGCACAGATGGCACCTCGGAGCAGCCTCGAGCTTTGGGGAGAAGGCACAGGCCTGGGAGTTCAGAGACCTGGGTTGAATCAGGGCCCGACTGCTAGTTCACTCTTTCTCCTCACCGGACCTCAGTTTCCCCAAATGTAAAATGAAAGTGATGACTTCAAGCTGGTCCAGGAATCTGTGTAAGCCCAAGCACAGCTGCTGGTCCAGAGTGATACTTGCAGGTGTCTTCACACCCGGGTCCCTCTCATTCTCAGGCAGGTCCCCAGAGGAATTTAGAGGGAAGGAACAAGAAAACTCAAGCAAGAAGCCTTTTGCAACCTGGAGATATCTGACTCCCCACAGAGTATTCGCCAGGGAATACTTGAACCCCAGGTGTGAGGGCTCAGCGGAGCAAGAAGAGGAAGGAGGGCTTCTCCTCTCTCCTTGTCACTAGATACTCTGGAGCTGGGGGAGTCCAGGGAGCAAAGGGAGCCAGTGTTTACTGGACTTCTAGTCTGTGCTGCCAAGTACTATATAAGGCCATGCACAGGTGGCCGCATTTATAAGTGAGCTCCTGATGCTGACCTGGGCAGGAATTCCAGCCCCGTGGCTTTCTCAGTGAGCATGGCAGCTCATGGTCCTTACCGAGCATTTAGTGACTTGCCCAGTCCACTGCCAAGTGCATAGGAAGTGCTCATTGAATGATTATTCTGACAGTCCCAACATGCTTTAGGTAGGTGCGCAGGGAATGTTCCCATCTGTCACCCCCCAGCTCCGGAACTGGGCCAGAAAGATTTAGACTTTGCTAAACGTTCTTTTTGCCACTTAGTTGATTATTGGGTTGAACCATATGTAATTGCTCAGAGTTGACAATTTTTGATAAACAAAACCAGGAATTTCATATGGTTCAACTGAATTCTTCTTGGATAAAATTTGTGAATTAGGTTTTAGGTCTGTAGAGGCTGCAGTAAGTAAATAATAGTCCACTCCCTTCCCCATTTCCAAACTTGGAGTGGGCTTGATTCCTCCCCCAAGAGCTTCAGAACCTTGTTATTAGCCAACTTGGCTATTAGCCAAGTTCGGCATGTTAGCCCAGCTCAAGCTCCCTTCAGGAAGAGCGAGGTGTTGAGTATATTTGTTGTCTGGTTTCCCCCATTAGGGAACTGGGCCTGAGGACAGTGGGGCAGGAGGGAGGGCAATGAGACGTCCACTTGGGAACATGACACCTTCTGCCATTTCTGAAGCACCTTCATTTACTTCCATTCTTTCATGGTTTTCCCAACATCTCAGGGAGGAAGATTGAGTGCAGACTACTGTTCCTTCATAAGGGGGCCATGGTGGGCCCCATTATCCTCTAAACACACCAGTGTGCTCACGCTGTGCAGCGCAGAGTGCCCTACATGCAGACTCTACCCAAAGAAGACACTGTGGTGTGGCCGTAACAGGGTCATTAGAAGAGGGCTGAAAGCACTGTTCTGTTCATTATTTCCCCTTGAGATTTCATTCAAATGACACTATGACTAAACACCTCAGTGAGCACCTCAGAAGCAAATTTCAGGAGAGGTTTGCATGTCACATTTCCATTAGGGTGAGAGAGGGCAAGTTAGGAAGGCTGCTAGGCTGCAGGGGAATCAGCTGGGTCCTAAAGGCTCTGATAAAAATCCACTTTTGAGAAAGTTCCTGTTGGTACAAGGTTACTCCACACTTTGTCTTGCATAGCCCAGTGTTACTTCCCCATTCTCCAGCCAGTGGCTCTTTAAGGACAGTCTGTCCCTGTTGTGTAAAGGTGAAAAAGAAACCTTAGAGAAAATACTTGCTCTAGAGGAATTGTCTTTCCCATTTTACTTGGAAAAGTGTCCGAATCATTATGGTTAACAACAGTTACAGTCACAACAATAAGGGCTGTTACCAGCCAGTTCAGTCATTTCTAGGTCTTTGGCACATCAACACCCACATACCTCTGTGCAGAATTCTGTCAAACAGTAGGACTGATTTCTTCTCCACAAAGTGAGTTATAGAGCCCCACTTATTCTCATCAGAGTTCCACATACTGATTTGGGTCAGGACTAGGAATAGAAGTTCTCCAAAGGTGAGACTCTCCTGTAAATGGTCTCCCCCTCAGGAGCTCCCCACTGCCTGCTTGGGAAAGCCCAGACCATGGACCCAGACGGATCAGAGACTGGACTGAGGCTGGGCAAATTTGGCAAATTGATTTGTTTCCTTACTTCTTTCAACTGAAAGCTGTTCAAGGCAGATGGGATTACTTTTCTTGATCCAAAGATCTCTGGGAAGTCATTTGAGCCATTTTCATTCCAAGACAGCACTCTTAGGAAAGCTAGGGACAATACAGAAGTGTTTAATATATTGTCCTTGAATATATTCAGTGAGTGTAGACAAGTCTAACAACTATATGTACCTCTCATATATTCAGGGAATGTTAACCTTATTAATTTCTATGAAGAGAACACTCTAGAATAACTCTTCCTCAATAATAAGAATTACTGATTAATGAAGAATAAACATTTCCTTATGAACTTCCATCTATATTCCCCGTCTTCCCTCTCTGTCCTCCCTTCCTAGATTCTGCCTCCTGTTCCTCCTTTTCTTCCTTCCTCTACCCCCTAGTCCCCACCATGCCCCAATGTCCCCCACTTCTCTCTTCTTTTCTGCTGCAGTTTCTCCCTCTCGCTCTGTCTTCCAGTCCCCCCCACCCCGAGTTCCCTCTTCTCTGCTTCACAACATCCCCCTCTCCCTGCCCAGCCCCTCATTAGCTTCCACCAAGAAGAGCATCCCAGGCTCGGCCTCAGGTCTCTCTTCTGTCCATGCTTGAGCAGAGAGATTCCTCTCCTTGTCCCAGCAACAACAGGGATCTGGGACAGAAACAAAACCTTTCTAAAAATGCTCATATAAAGATCAAATAAAAAGTGACCAGCTAACACACTGATGAAATATTCAAAAGCCTTAAAACCATATAACCAATAAAGTGTTGAAAGTAACAAGTGAAATCAGAAAACTGGCCCTTCTGTAAGATGAGGCTGGGGAATTGCATGTTTCCCTGACTTCATGTCCGTCTTTAGCATCTGAGCACCTCTGGCCCAAGGAGCTCCAGGCTCTAACCTCCTCCTTCTAAATATGCATTCCCCACCTAAGGAGTCTTGCTCTCTGTTCTCTACAGATAAATGCCTTGCCCATTCTTTCCCCTCCCCGCTGACCTCACCTCCGAAACCTTACCACTTGGCCTCCTGATGCCTCAGCTCAGGGGTCTCCATTCTCTCCCACCCCAGAAGTCACCCTGGAAGAGCTGTGTCCTTCCTTTCCTCTTCTCCTCCCAGCTCCTTGGGTCATCCAGCCCTTTACTGGGACTCCTGCACCCTGGGGCTTCCTGGCTTCTTCCCAAGGGATTAGAACCCTGCAGTACAGATAAACTACTCAGCTGAGGTCCCGAAGCCTGGGGGTCAGTGCTCTCTGTGACCTCACCTATGCATTCTGCTCTCCCGCAGACACACTGTGGGAAAGAAGGGTTCTTTCACCCTGCAGGAGGGTGCATTCTGGCAGCACAGATAGGCTTGCGCACCTGTTAGGGACCAAGAAATGTCATCCCAACACAGAGGCCTGGCTCCTGGGTCCTGAGAAACATTCTGAGGACCCAGGCCCAGACCACAGGGCATAGGGAGGAGACTTCCACTTTCTGACCACAAGTGTCTGGCATCTTCAGTAACGGCAACACGCGAGCTGCTCACTGCACTCAGAACCAAGAGGTTTGCTAAAAATACCCAACTTCCCATTCCTCTTTGGAAGTCCTCCCTGGGGTTCCTCTGACAGCTTGGCGGGAGAAGGTTGGAGACAGAGACGCATGGGATCACATGCAGGATGAATCCCTCGCCCCCTCCATTTGCTTCACTATCACACAGAACTTTAGTTTCTGCCACCAGCGAAAAAGCTCAAGGACTGGTGAAATCCAGCTTAGAAAGTACCTTGGCAGGGATTGCGGGGGGAGGGGCGGCACCGAGTGCAGGGCTTCCCAGACCTGCTAGTATATAGAACACCCAATGTAACACTTGAGTTCTCTGCCACCAAGAGTTTTCCCTCTGCCACCAAGAGTTGCAGACGCACAGATCACCCCCACAGCCTTGGAAGGGTTGCCTGCCCATCTCCCAGAGTCAGGAGCCTGGCTTCACAAAGCACTGAGCAGCTCAGGGACCTGGTGGGCAGTCTGCACAGGGCCTGCGGTGGCACCTTCTAGCAGCAAGACCAACCTCAGCCCACCACTCCCACAGATCTCATGGGTACCACCTATCTGATTTTCTTTCTTATCTTTCTTTCTGTGGCTCAGTGACAGAGGATGCCCTAGGATGATGTGTACCTGTGCAACTTCTCTTATACCCGAGGCTCTTCATTTTTGCTCAGTTATTTGCTCCCCAGAGAACAAGGGAGACATGGAGTAGCTGTACTGGAAAGGTCTGGATTAGAAGTCCATCTCTACCAATGAATAGCTGAAGTGGGACTTAGTAAGCCTCAGTATCTTCGTCGGTGACACAGTCATGACTGCCCCTCATCCTCACATCACTGTAGGGGTCCATAGCAATTGTCAGTAAGCCTTTTGTAAGATGTAAAGGGCCTCCAAGCATGCCAGGACTACTTTGCCCTCTCCAGCCTGCAGGGCGGGAAGGCCAGCCACTCCCCTGCCCTCATTGTGAGCAGGGGCAGCTGCAGAGGACTCTTACCAAGCACAGCCTAGCAGAGGGCATCCCTCCCTGGAGTCTCCCCTCTTCCAGCCCGAACCATGTACAGACAGCAGAATGGCCCACTCTGAATGTGACGAATGTCCCCATCCATCCCTCACTCACTAGACCTCCATCTCCATAAAGGGAGAGCCAGGATTTGTCCCCGTGTGTCTCCCAGGTGCAGCATGGAGCTTTGCCAAGGGCAGGCATTCGGCCACGTCTTAGCTAAATGAACTAAGGGGTGATACAAAGGCTCAGAAAACCCCTAGACAACCTGATTTGCCTTTTTCTCCTCTCAGGTTGATTCCTATGATGTGACAGTGGATGAAGAACTGGGCGAAATCCAGCTGGTCAAGATCGAGAAGCGCAAATACTGGCTCCACGATAACTGGTACCTGAAGTACATCACGCTGAAGACGCCCTGCGGAGATTACGTCGAGTTCCCGTGCTACCGCTGGATCACCGGCGAGGGCGAGATCGTCCTGAGAGACGGGCGCGGTGAGTGTCCACTCCGGAGCTTCCCAGGGACTAAGGGGCCTCGCAGGCCCTCCTTTCTCCAAGAACTGTATTCGGGGGAATAGCAACGCTGCTGCTCTGAGCCTCGATGCACCGGCAGGTGCTGTGACTTGCTCAGGGTACTAACAAGCCCCACAGGCAGAGGGTGGAGGGAGAGGCCCCTGGCCGCGTGCTCAGCTGTCTTCCCTCTGTGCTGCCGTCCTTCAGGGGCAAGCTTATGACTCCCTTTTTGCTGGAGGGTCCCTCATAGCACACGCCTGCAGGACATCTCCCTAGATGGGCAGTTTCCAGGGGAATTCTCCAGTTTTCCTCTCTGGGGGTCATAGTGGGGCTTGGGCTCCAGGGTACCCCACACAGACCTGGGAGGGGAGGAGGTTGATAAGAGTGTCCCAAGTGCTAGCCTGGAGGGGCCATGGCCAGACCTGGCAGTCTTGGTCACCAGTTGTTAAACCAGAAGTCCTACATTTCGCTAAAAAAGAACCTAAAATCTACCCTCTTAAGCAAGACCCTCCAGTGTACAGACCCCAACCCAGCACTTCCTTGGAAGAGCATTCCTCATAAGAGATAGGGAGTTGACCTGGTGTGGAGGAACAGAGAGAGGGATGGATGGCAAAGGTCAGCTAAGGCCACTCTCCCTCTGAATGACTCCCCCTTCTACACTAGCCTCTTAGCATATGGGAGTCAAACCCATGCCTTGGCAAAATTCCATCTGACTTCAAGTCATGGCCCTTCAGTTTTCTCACACTCTAAAACCCGAATGAGAAATCTTCAAAGCTGTGTACCACTAGAATAATGAGGAAGAGGACAGATGTTTTACCCATAAGATGTTTAATACTTCCTAGTCGAAAGCACATTCCTATCACTAGATCATTCATTCTTCACAGAGGGTGAAGGTAAAATGGAAATGATTACTACCCCCATTTTTATCTAAGAAAACCGAGACAGAGGAGGAAGAAGTTCTTTTCTACTTCATGTTCTTAAACTATCAGGCCACATCCCCTTGTTTCTCACATGGAATTTTAGAAACCAAATTCTAAAAATATTTCCAAACTGAGTGAGTGGAGCTAGAAGGATTTTTTTGTCTCCTGACCTCATGACCAAAAAAAAAAAAACACAGAACTCACTCTGTCTTGTGGTGGCCAGAATGTGAACAGTTGTAGACAAGGTTCTTCTCTTTCTCTGGTATTGGAAAAACACTAGCTCCTGGTCTCCTTCCTGCCACTCCCACCCAGGGTCTTGGTAGGACGGTCCCTCTTCCCACATACCGTGAATCCCTTTCCAGCAAAAAAAAGTATGGCACATTCAAATGAGGATGTTTAGAAAGGCCAGTGTGCAGGGGAGCACACCAGTGTGGAGGCCATTGGCACTGCCAGTCCTGGTAGTGTGAGGGGAGAGAAGGAAAGCCGGATTAATCCAAGAAGGGAAGTGTCCTCGAGACAGCACTCCCTTGGAGTAGCTGTGGTTCCCAGTAGAGATGCAGACACTGCATCACCAGTGCAGACACTGGGGAAGTACTGAGAGAGGACCAGGAGAATTATGTCCTCTCCTCATTCTCCCATGCCCTCCTCTCCCTGGTCAGGGTTCCCAGTGGCTAACCCAGTATGAAGCCCATCAGTGTAGTTCATTCCCATCAAGGACAAGATGAGGGTCTTCAGGGACAAGACAAGGTAGATCTGGAGGGACACCTAGGAGCTATCCATCCAGTTTGTTCCACTTATTGATTGCTGTGTAACAGTCTGGTGGCTTTAAACAGCCATTTTCTTCTGTGCATGATCTTATGGGTCAGAAATCAAGGAAAGGCTCAGCTGGGCAGTTCATCTGTGAGCCGTGAAGCATTAGCAAAGGGGGAAGGACTAGAAGGCTCACTTTTAAGATGGTTCCTCCCACACATGCCTAGTGCCTCAGGGCTCCTTGGCCTCTCTTTCCACCTGGAATCTCATTCTTGAAGCCTTCTCTATGGCATTGAGCTTCTCACAGTTTGGCAGTCACAGGATAGTTGCACTTCTTATACAGTGGCTGGCTTCCAAGAGCAAGTACTCCAAGAGACAGGAGGTGGAAGCTGCCAGTCTCTTCCTGCCCAAGCCTGGAAACTGGCAGAGGGTAACTTCCACCATATTCTATTGGTCCAAGCAATAGAATAGATCACAGAACCCAGACTCAAAGGGGACAGTCTCCACCTCCTAATGGAAAGAATGTCAAGGAATCTATGGCCATCTTTAATCTACCACATAGCACAACAACCAGCCTTGGGACAACTTGAAAATGAAGGGGCCCAGCCCACGAGTGACATGGTAACCTCTGCCATCTAATACTTCACCATGGCACCTGGGGTGAACATAATGGTCAGAGGCCCATCACTATGGTCCTGGGGATCCAGAACACCTATGTGGAAAGACAGCTTCAGTAAGGCACTCATATCAGTGTTTTGGCATCAACCCCCACTCCCGAGCTTTGGGGCATTTAGTCTAGGTCTTGTCACCTGGTCACCTGCTATGTTCCCAAAAGTTCCATCAGTCACTGCAGTAAATGTCCAACACCCTCAGGGCCAGGAGAAATGGAGCTTACACCTTTTGAAACTTGGTATGTGCAGTTTCACATGTTCTGACTTACTCATACCACTGGAACTGAAGAGACCCAATTTCTCAGAGCCAGGTGCCAGAGAAAGAGGTATATTAGAAATGATGAATGTCGAGTCCCCACGACAGTGTCTCCTACAGCCAGGGACAGCTGTTATTACAGTTAATATTTATCTTGCCTTCACTGGCCTTTCACTCGGGCTGCGCCTACTGGCTGGCTTTCCATCCCCACTGGAGAACAAAGAGGTGCCCTATTGATCTTCCTCTGGGTTCCAGCCCTGGTCTGGAGCTGCCTCAACCAGAAGGGGTTCTGAGTGTGGGCTAAGAACTGGTGGGTGTTGGTCTTTAATGAGACAAGTACAGAGACTGAAAGTAGGCATTTACAAGCTTTTATAGTAACTTGCAAGAATTATTCTGTTGCGTCTTATAATAAAGACAGGGCTTTGTTTTGAATGTCCTTAGTTTGTTTTTTATTTCATTTTTCCTGTAGTTAATTTTTATTGTATTTTACAAAAATATCAATCTGTGATGGAATGGAAATTTTAAAAACCACAGAGAGCTGGAGAAGCACTATTATAGGCCCCCTTTTCAGGAGATGTTCTGGAATCCTGCTAGTCTGGGCTCCCACTAACTGTTCACTGGCTTTACCTTAAATATATTATATATATATATATATATATATATATATATATAGTAATCAGGAATGAGCCTCTCCTGCTCTAAAGGCCCTGAGCAGCTTGACCTTGCCCTTAAGCTACTTGCCCCACTCCTGAAATGAGAACCAAGACACCTTTGAATCTGGGCTAAGAGGGAGGAAGAAGCAGCTCAGGTCCATCATGATTATAAGGACAATAATAATAATTATTGTTCCCACTTACTGGGTGCCAAGCACTGTGTGAAGTACTCCTCAAATCCCCATCATGACCCTAAAAATAGGCATTATTATCTTCATTTTACATGTGAGGAAGCTAAGACAACTTGCTATATACCCAGTGCCTGCGGGAGAGAGGCAGCAGATCATCGGCCTGCCCCCCGTAACGCCTGCTAACCAAGCCCGGGGCTGGATGTGATTCTCAGGGCCCCGAGTGCCCGCAGCTTAATGAGTGAGCAGGCAGAAAGAGGGGCAACTGGATTTGTCTTTTACAATGGGAGTGGCTAAGAGCACAGGTTTTGAATCTTGTGTTGAAAATCTACTAATTTGGTATATGACCTTGGGCAAAGTTCAAAGGCAAAGCTGTTCAAACTCCCAAAGTCCCAGTGTCCTCAGTATGAATGGGGGAGGGTATTCTGAGGCAGGTAAAGATGGTGCACAGGCAGGGGGTGTGAGGGAAACCCAAGTACTGAACGTTGTTACCCTTCTTCTTATGGCTCTTCTCACAGTCCTGCCCTTTCCTCACAGCAAAGTTGGCCTGCGATGACCAAATTCACATTCTCAAGCAGCACAGACGTAAAGAGCTAGAAACACGGCAGAAACAGTATCGGTGAGTTATGACAAATGGCTATTTAAAAAAACTGTGCCCACAGGTTATGGCTGACCACTGTTGACAAATAATGGCCAAGCCACCGGTTCCCTGGAGGGCTCCCCAATCCTCAAGCTACCCCTGACCACCACTCCAGGCAGAGATGGTAAAGAGCATTATGGAGAAAAGTTGAGGTCAACCATATCAGCATTTAGGAGGAATTGGGCAGCAAAAGCTTGGATTTACATTAATGTTCCTTCCCCTCCCAAACATGGCTTCCATAGAGTTTGGAATTACATTGTTTAGGGAAAGTTATATAGCAGTGGAACAATAAATAATAACAAGGAAATGATTCTCATAAAAGGGAGGATGGTGAGTGGGAAGCAGGTGCAGTGTGGGGGTGCCAGTAACATTCTGATTCTCCATCCGGATGTTGGTTATATAGATGCATGCATTTTTCTTCATGCGTCTGTACATATATATACATATACATATGTATATGTATTCATATATTCAATTTCATAATAAAATGTTTATATAAAACTTCTATGTCTTTATATCAGGTAAGGGAAGGTAATCAGATTATATGAGTACTATTAAAGATTTATGAATTTGTGATGTAAGACATTTGTGTGTGAGCTTCTCAGCTCAGACACCATATGGATGTGTACTGAGACTTGTGTATTTGGCACAGTGCACAGGGCATTGTCTGGGAGCTCTCCACCACCATTCCCATCTTAAAGGATTGTTATTTCTTTTTTTTTTTTCTGAAGTAATTTTTCCCATTTTTTTATTTTTTAAATTTAGATTAATTAACATATAGGGTATTATTGGTTTCAGAGGTAGAAATCAGAGATTCATCAGTCTTATGTAATATCCAGTGCTCATTATATCACGTGCCCTCCTTAATGTCCATCACCCAGTTACCCCATCCTTCCACCTCCATCCCCTCCAGTTGTTTCCTATGATTAAGGGTCTCTTATGGTTTGTCTCCTTTTCTGGTTTCATCTTGTTTTATTTTTTCCTCTCTTCCCCTATGCTCCTCTATTTTGTTTCTGAAATTCCACATATGAGTGAGATCATATGATAATTATCTCTCTCTGATTGAGTTACTTTGCTTAGCACAATACCTTCTAGTTCCATCCACATCATAGCAAATGGCAATATTTCATTTTTTGATGGCTGAGTAGTATTCCATTGTGTATATATACCACATTTTCTCTATCCATTCACCTATCGATGGACATCTGGGCTCTTTCCATAGTTTGGCTATTGTGGACATTGCTGCTATAAACATTCGGGTGCACGTGCCCTTCAGATCACTACATTTGTATCTTTGGGGTAAATACCCCGTAGTGCAATTGCTGGGTTGTAGGGTAGCTCTATTTTCAACTTTTTGAGAGTTGTTATTTCTTTGTTCCTTCCTCAGCTTTCCTCCCCACTTCAGCAACCCCTGTCAAAACCCTTACAGTGAGCACTTCATGTACTTTTGGCCCTGTGGGAAGAGGGAATCTTAGATTGTGGTGATGCTAAACAACTTTCAGAGAATCGGCCGGTTTGTATCCTGTTTGATGAGTGGACAAGTTTTATCGGTTCCACTGTAACTCAGACTAAGATGTTACCAGCTGATAAATTAGTCTTACAGGCACATTGTCTTAACTCAGTATTTTCCAAAGTGTGCCCTGGAGCACTGTCCCAGGGGTTCCACTGTAACTCAGACTAAGATGTTACCAGCTGATAAATTAGTCTTACAGGCACATTGTCTTAACTCAGTATTTTCCAAAGTGTGCCCTGGAGCACTGTCCCAGAACTTTGTCCGCAAGATAAGACAAGTTCAGGAAATCCCATCCCCTTCATGGAGGTTTCCAGGGCACATAAGCATGGAGAATTCTGAGAAGTTCTGTGCTAGTGGATTGTGCTTAATTTTTTTTAGTCCAGTGTTTCCCAAGAGAATCTGACATATAATTCTTAACATCCAGCAGAACAAGTCCTTCGTGGAACACCCTTTGGAAAATGTCCCTTTCCTAAGGAGCGGTCGATCCAGGGGTGTGTTTGTTTCACAGGGATGGGGCTGGGACTAGGAAAATGGGGCCAAGAGCTTTCTGGTGAAACAGTTTTCCCCTTTCTTAGATCTAATCGTCATTTTTTTCTTCTTCCTTCCACTCATCTGTCCTTATCAGATGCCTTCCTCTCCTTCCATTCAGGAAACACTGAACTTTGCATCGTCTGCATAATCTAGGGGTTCCTCTTTCACTTGAACTCTCGGGGTTCCAGAAGAGAGTTTGGAAGTGAAGTAAGAACTGTCTCCAGTCAGCAAGCTGCAGGTCCAGCTGGCCCTTGGCCCTCAGTCAGCGAGGCAGGCAGTTGGAGAAGCCCACACGGCTCATCACGCACTGCCCTTTTCTTACTGTGACTGCATAGATGTAGATGGTGCACTCAGACAGAGCAGCGTGTAGTGTAATGGTTTGCGATTTATAATACGTAATCTTTTCGTGACTTGCTTTTTTTCACCCATTATTCTGTTTTGCGGGCAGCCAGTTGACCCAGATAGGTGTCATCCACTCGTTAGGCATCTGGACAGCACACCATGGTAGGAGCAAACCACCAGGCTCGCCCACTCTCCAGCGGATGGACAGGTGGGCCATCGTTCATTCCTGCTGTCACCAGCTGCACCTCAGGCAGCTTCCTCGTACGTCTCCTGGTGCTGTCGTGGAAGAGTTTCTTTAGGGGATATTCCTACGGATAGACGTGCAGGATTGCAGGCCACATTTTAAGTTTTCTAGGTATTGCCAGTTGTGTCCCAAAGAGGTTCTGCCAGCTTTCACCCCTAGCAGCTATTTCTGAGGGTTGCAGTTTCCCTGCATTGTTGACATACTTTTCAGCTTGAAACATTCTTGTTCAGGTCAATCTAATGTCCTGAAATCGTATCTCCTTGATTTCCTCATTCTTAAATTGCCACATATTTCTAGCTGTGTGTGAATTCAACCATTCCCCTACTGATGGACATTCAGCTTGGTTTTCCATCTGTCTGTCCGTCTGTCTCTGGCATCACCCACAGTGCTGCAGGACGCTGCCTTCCACAAGCAGCTGGATGTCCTGGTGCTTTCATCACTGTCCATTAAGTTCCAGAACTCACACTCCTGGGTCAAAGTAGCAGTTTCACTTTAAGAAATACTAACAACAGTCCTTTCCCACAATTTTATGCTAATTTTTGGTGCAATTTTCCAGTTGCATGTGTATACCTATGACATACCTGGTCATGCCGATCTTTTATATTTTTAACAATCTAAAAATCCGTAAGTTGGACCCCATTGTTGTTTTAATCTGCATTCCCCTCACCACTGGTGAGTTTCGCCTCTGTGGAGGGCCTCTTCTTTGAATTGCCTGTGTGTAGGCTTTATTTTTCTCCCTTCCTTACGATTAATCCAAAGGAGCCCTCTGTATATCAGGCTAGTATCCTTCCATTATAAGTATAGAACATGTCATTTGTCTTCTGTTGCTTTTGTCATGAAAGATTTTAGTTCTTTGTTTTCTTAACTACATGTATTGGTTTTCCTGTATTGCTTCTGGGTTTCCTGCTTTGCGTAAGAAGGCCCTCCCCACCCCAGTGTTACATAAATACACCTTTATTTTTGTCTAATACTTTAGCGATTTAGTCTTTAACATTCGGCTTTTAATTCGCCTGCCGTGTATTTTTATATATACACGATGTGACGCAGGGGTCCAGCACCCCCAGTATCACTTATTACAGATTATATTCCTCCCTCCTGCCTGGAGCGGACCCCCACCGCGCAGAGCCAGCCTAGGATAGTGGTTATGGATGGGCGCGGGCTCTGAAGCCCGCTTCCAAGCTCAGCTCACTCCATGTCCTGCAAAAGTTGCTTAGTCTCTGTGTCCCTCACCCCCTCAATCTAGAAGATGGGTAAGAGAATAGTACTACCTCACCAGGTTTTGAGAGAATTAAATAGATTAAACCATGAAAACACATAGACTAGTATTTGGCACCTAGAAAGCCCTGGATAAGTGTTAGCTAGTTTTCTGTCACATTTACATATCTTCTTGGGGCTGTTTCTGGACTTCGCATGTTAGTCCACTTTTCCACTCTGCAGCTCAGTGCCATGTTTTGAATATTTAACTTTCTTTTTTTTTTGATTATTTAACTTTCTAATATATGTTAATAGCTCTGTCATTCTCTCACTGTTTGTTCTCTTTTAAGATTTTCATGAGGAGAATTGCTTTGAATTACATATAAATATGTATATACTGACATGCTGATGAGAGTCAGTCCTCCCCACCCCCCGTGGAGACCTAGAACACAGTGTGCCTTCCCCCACCTAGATCTGGTGTAATGACCTTCTGTAGAGTTTCTAATTTTCTTCCTGCAGGTCTTTCTCCTCTGTGGGTACTTTAGACAAAAGAAAGTATAGCTTGTACCATTCTGAGTGGCATATTCTTCTGTTTGTAAATAAATATTGCTGGGATAAAGATAAATTAGTTATTTTTTAAAATATTTTCCTTGTATTGACATCTTACTAAGCTCTTTTATTGGCACTAATCTTTTCTGTTAATGAGTCTTTTTAGTTACCTAGTCAGTCATACTATCTAAATGATGATAATTTTGTCTGTTATTTTCCATTATTTACATCGCTGGATTTTTTTCTTATTTCACAGCTAGAATTCCCAAAACAAGTAATAGCAGCAATGATGGTCTTGATTTTTGAAAAAAATACCTTTGATATTTTTGTTTATTTACAATTATACTTGCTATTGTTTTTTGATGAATACCCTTTACTATATTTCAGAACTTCTTGGTTCATTCTAATTTTTTGGCTGAACTTCTTCAGTTAATTTCCTCAGAAGAGGTTTGGGGGTAATATAATATCTGAGTTGGTGCTTGTCCCCACCCCCCAAAAATTCTCCCGCCCTCACCAATTACTTGATGATATAAGAGGCTTAGAGGATGACCTAAAAAGAAGTCTGTAAACACTTCACACTGTCTCCCCATTTTCAGTATAAAATGAAAAACCTAATGATAACTCTATTATTTTTCTTTTCCTGGAAACTCATGAGCTTATGAGAGCATCTCTCTTCTCTCCCCAGTTCCCCTCCCTCTCGCATGCTCCCCTCACCCCCTCCTTTCCCTCCCTCCCTTTCTCTTTCTTCCCCCCAACTAACACACACACACACACACACACACACACACACACACACACAGTCTTCTCTTTCATTGGCAGAATATATCTAAACATGCCCTTTTTCCTTTTCTTTCCTGCCTAGGACTTACTCATTAAATTGAGGTCTTTTCAACTTAAGAAAGTTTTTCTCTTATTTCTTGATTTTTACTTCTCCATATATTTCTCTCTCTCCTTTTGGACCTCTTAGTCTCTGTATGTTAAATCTTCTATATCTGCCTTTCATGTCTCCTGTGGTTTTTTTCTTTAAGTTTTTATTTTAATCCCAGGTAGTTAACATACAGCATCATACTAGTTTCATACATAACAGTACACTATTCAACACTTCCATACAACACTCGGTGCTCATCACGAGTACACTCCTTAATCCCCATCGTTGTTTCCTTTTCTCTGTGGTTTTGCTCTGTATTTGTGTTACATTCTCTTCCATTTTGCACAGAGCAGCGCCCGGCCCATGACAAGTTCTCAGTAATTATTTATTGAATGAACAAATTTTGTCCAGGAGACAAATTAGATCTCTCAGTGACTGTTCTCTTTTCCCATTTCTCTGTTGAATTTTCAATTCAGAAATCATGTTTTGCTGTTGAAGAAAGTCTTTTAACATTCTACTTATATCTCTTTAACACTTCTCCTTTTTTAAAATAAATGTCTTTTTTGCTTCTTTCCTTCCTTCGGCCTGGTTGTTCAACCCGGCCTTCCTCAGTGGAGTGTGATTTTATTTTTCTTCTTATTTTCTTTGCCTATTATTGGTGGGCACAAAGTCCTTTGACCCCTGTACAGGTCAGCCTGTTAGGTGTCTGAGACAGCAGTGGCCTGCAGTAGGAGGGACACCAACGTTTTTGGTGGTGAGCTTACGAACTGTACTGTCTCCATGCACTAAGTGGCCCTAGTCTCCTGACTACCCTGATGGGGCACGTCCATCTCTCAGTGCTGTCACCCTCAGGAGGCCTGGGGAACAGCAGCGGGAGGCGGGGAGTTCGAGGAAATGAATCATTTTCTAAAACAAAGGGGAAAAAAATCAGTAGATTAGTTGACGTTCACGTGTCTACATTTTATCCTGTTAATGTACCAGCAGTGATGCTAATACATATACAACAAATATAGAAGATTAAAGTCCAGGAAAATAGAATATTGTAAGTAAGCCAACAGTGAGAAGTGACAGTACTGCATGACAGAAAATGCTTTTCAAAATGCATCTGCTCTGACTGAGCATATCCAGTTCCTGTTTACCTCTGGTGGTCCTAGTGGGAGTCTTACTGGGCCGACAGGACAGCATGAAAAACCATAGGGACTTTCATGACAGTAAAAGGACAAGATGATATTAAAGGGATGCCAGAGTTTTTCACGACTTCAACTTTTAGTGCTTTAGTTTCCTGTCATAAGAGAGATTTTATTAAAGGAGAATTAGGAATACAAAAGGAAAAGCTGTTTACTCAGAATGTAAATTTTGGTTTTTAAACAAATACAAGATCATTCTCCCTGAGCTAAAGAAACAATCTTGGTTAGTTTGAGTTTTGTGGTAAGCAAAGAAAAAAAAATAAATAAAATTTTTTTGTTTTTAAGTAAAATTTAAGGGGCACCTGGTGGCTCAGACTGTTAAGTGTCCAACCCTTGATTTCAGCTCAGGCCATGATCTCAGGGTCGTGGGATCCCCACGTCAGGCTCTGTGCTCAGTGGGGAGTCTGCTTGAGATTCTCTTTCTCCTTCTGCCTCTGCCCCTCCCCACCATGCTTGCAGGTGCTGTTTCTCTAAAATAAATAAGTCTTTAAAAAAATAAATTAAAAACAAAAACAAAATGTATGTGCCCAGTGCTGCAGGATAAGTTTCAAGACACCAGGATTGGAAAATTTGGGCTGCACAGAGTGCATGGCCCGTGTTTGGGGGGAATTATTTTGATTACAACAGTCACTAAGCTGGCCACGGACAGCATCTGTGCCTAAAGCCCCGCATCCAATCACCCTGTTGTCCTGGGCACCCTACTGGGAAGGAGTGACCGCCGTCCCCATTCCCCATTCCCCAGCTGCCACACACAGTGCAGGGGCATGTCGACTGAACTGGAGGGATACTGGCTTCCCAGGTCAGCCTGGAATTGGGGGAGCCTCACCCACTTCTACCTCCAGTGACCAGCAGGGCTGCTCTATTCCAGGGGAGAGATGGAGGTTGAGTGTCCCATCAAATCAGTGAGGTCTTCTGCTGCTTCCTTTCAACTTCTTTTTATGCACTGGTGCACACCTACCATTCTCTACCCCTCTGCCAAGAGCCCAGTCTCAGGTTCAGAGGACCTTGGGCCTCCTACTGTGATGCTCAGGGCACAGGGAAGCAGACTACCACCAGCCCCTGGGACGGTCCCGTTACCTCTCAGGCTGCACACTCAGCTGACGGAGGATACGCCCTCAGACCACATGGGCAGCCTTTAGCCTGAGGGGCCAACCCAAAGGCAAGGCATTTGATAAAATTTTCTTCCTCTTATTCATTCTCAGGTGGATGGAGTGGAACCCTGGCTTCCCTTTGAGTATTGATGCCAAATGTCACAAGGATTTACCCCGAGACATCCAGTTTGATAGTGAGAAGGGTGTGGACTTCGTTCTGAACTACACCAGAGCGTGAGTTTCCAAGAGCTTAAGGATTCTGGGCAGGCCCTCCATGGGTCGGGGCGTGGTGGGACCCTCACTCCTTTCTCTGTAGGGGCTTGGGCTGGGAGGGTGGCTCATCTGGGCGCCTCTTCCCACATCATTTGACTGGATCCTCAGTGCACAGCCACAGGGTGGCCTGTATCTAAACCAAGTTACCACCGTGATGACTCCAGACACCAGACATAGCTCTATCATCAGCCCAAAGTCTAGGTCTTTCCTTGAAGTGCCCCATCCCCATCCACGTCTCATCCCCCCTGGGCCAGTTCAAGGATGGTCAGGGTCCAGGCTGTCACCTAGATAGCAGGGCTCTGCAGTGAGAATGGCCACCGTGGCTGTGCTGGTCGCTGACACCCATCCCTGGCTGTCCATCCCAGCAGCCCCATGAGACAGGCACAGTTGTTATCCTCACCTTATCATTGGAGAATCTGAAGACTAAGGAAGTCACATACCTTGTTCAGTGGCCTCTGCTGATAAGCAGCAGAGATATGAGTTCTGTGCTCCTTCTTTATGACTGAATTCCCACAGGGCTTCTACTGAGACTCCCTGGGGACTCCTGAAACATATGGAGCCCCAGCACCATCCCAGGGCCAGTTGGGGAGCCCTGAGGTGCGCCTTGACACTTTAAGGAGTTCTCACAATCATACACATCTAGAAAACTCTACATCCATCATTCTGCCACCCGACAGAGCTTCAGCACCCGCTAGTTCCAGGCCAACTCCACAGCCAGAAGGAGAGTCTCTGGGGTGGGGCCCTGGCCTCCTGTAGGCATATCCAGGAGGCAGACGGGTAGAGAGCCACTAACCCAGCCAGCTTCAGTGGCAGCATCTGCCGAGAGCAGAGCTGCTCCCCTCGAGAAGGGCCCCTCATCTGGTTGGACACACTCAGGCCTGTGCCAAAGTCTTCTTCCTCCTTTGCACATTTAGGAAGAACTCTACGTGCAAACACAACCTCACAATCAACCTCCATAGGGGACCCCCTCTATGGAAACGGAAAGACCATGGGCATTTGTCTCTCTCAGGCTGCACCTACCTTGCGGGGAGGAGGTGGTAGGGGCCTAACACTCATCACGCCTCTGCTGAGTGCCAGGCTCATAACTGTGGGTGTTTTCTAGTAGAATCATCTATTTTAACCTTCACAGCCATCCTGGGAGGTAGACACTGTTCTTGAATGTTTCCAGGTAAATAAGCTGATGTTCTGCTGGATCCAGGTCAGGGAATTTGTCTAAGGACATTTAGGCAGAGATCGGCACAATCAGAATTTGAATTCAGATCTATTTGGGTCCAAAGCAGGGGATATTTCTTTTCCTGCTACAACTGAGATCAACTAGGAAGAAAAACTAAAACCAACATCTACATTAGTAATGCAGTGTAGTACCCAACATCTGGCTTCCTGGAAACACCAGGGCAATTAAATGTCTCATGTCCCACCCAGGAATTCCCAAAGTCATGTGGGTTTTAGGCAAAGCCCTAACCAGGATGGTCCAAGCAGGAAAGAAGGCCCTTGTGAGGGGGCAGACTGGAGAGAAAATGATAAGGATGGAGAGGCAGCAAGGTCAGAGGAGATGATACTGCTTTGTGGAATAGGACCAACTCTTCTTAGTAATGGAGAAGGGATAGATGGCAGAGGGATAGTGGACGATGGATGGATGGATAGATGGTGGATAGATGGATGGTAGAGGGATGGATGGATGGTGGATGGCTAGTGGATGATGGATGGATGGGTAGATGGTGGATAGACGGATGGTAGAAGGATGGATTGATAGATGGATGATCAATGGGTAGACGGTGGATAGACGGATGGTAGAAGGATGGATTGATGGATGATAGAGGGATAGTAGACGATGGGTGGATGGGTAGATGGTAGATAGATAGATGGTAGAGGGATGGATGGATGGATGGTGGAGGGATAGTGGATGATGGATGGTAGAGGGATGGATGGATGGATGTTGGGTGGAGGAATGGAGGGAGCGAAGGAGGGTGGATGGCTGGTAGAAGAATATGTGGATAGATGGATGGAGGGTGAGTGGATGGACAGTGGAGTGAAGGCCAGATTTTGCCTTTCTTATGTCTGCTCAGTGTTCCTGAAATTAATTGCCGTCTTTGTATCTCAGGAGCCTAACTCAGCAGCTTCTGCAGAGTAGGTGCTCAGTAAACTCTATCGTAAGGAATGGAGTATGACCCAGGTGGCCTCTCAGAGGCCTTTGTTATCACCTCATGGGTACTTCACACACCCACACTCACTCTCTGTCTTATTCTCTTTCCATCTCTCTCTCTCTGCCACACGCAAAAACGCACACGCACAATCACCTTTCTCCTCTCAGTACCCCAACATGGCTGACAGCCTCTTAGCTGTACTCTCTCTCCGAGCTTGCCCCGCCTGGCCATGCCCAGACTGCTAACCCAGCCTCTGTGACGCCATTTCTACATATGTTCTCGGAGTCTGGGGGATTCCAGTGTATAGTCAGGGCTGGACCCACTGGCCTCCATGCCTCCCTTGGCCTCATCCTCCACCCAGTTGCCTGTGGGGTCATGTCTATCCCCTGGGGTCTCAGGATGTATGTCCTTCCCTCCCAGCTCTGTCATCCCTCCCTGGGACATTCAGGGATACCCTTCTACCTGTTTCCCTAGGATCCATCCAACATAGCAATTGGAAGTTCATTCTCAAGTGCCCATACAGTTTGTTGGAAGCTCCTTCTACAAAGGCAAATATAATTCTTTTACTTCCCCATAAAACCCTCACTGATAACCCTAGCTCCAGGAGAGAGCTGGCACATCTCTGCCGGGCTCCTCTGCCTTCCCTCCTGCCCCCAGATACAGAGAACATCCCAGCCATATGCATCCAGAACTAGTTAGCAAGGCATCTTCATGCCCTTTGTCTTTGCCTGTGCCATTCCCTGCAACTCAGATACCATTCTTCCCTTCTTGGCCTAAACTCATCATTTTTCAGGACCTTCTCCCAGAAGCTCCTAGAAGCCCCTGGGCCTGAGTGAGGTCTCCTCCCTTGTGCTCCCCAGTACTGGCCGCACAGGCCACCATTTTTCCAATGACATCACTGCCCGTCTTTCTCCACATCTGCCATATAACTTGGTCTCTTGAACTGTGGTCTATTTGGCAGGAACAAGCAAAGAAATCTTGAAATGGGCGCTCAGCCCCTCCTGGTACAGCACAGCTTTGGAGGGGGTGGTGCTCAGCTAAGCCCTGCCTCTGCTGGCTGAGCACCGTGAGGTTCTAAGAAGGAAACGAGAGATGTGCCCCCTGCCTTTGAGGAGGGTACAGCCTGAATGAAGGGGACTGGACCTCAAGGAGATAGCTCAGAGTACCCCCCACCCTAAGAAGATGAGGGGCACGTGGGAGAGGCCTCTGGGCCAGTGGAGGGTGATGTTAAGGAAGCTAACTTCTCTGAGCCTCAGAGTCTCACCTGAAGAATGAGACCACAGCTCCTGCTCAGGGCTGTTGTGAGAATATAATGAGGCCACATATGTCAACCCTGCACAGAGAAGATGCTCCCTAAAAACAGCATTAGTTTCCATCCATTCTTGGTAATGGGGTCAGGCCAACAGGACCCAGGTCTCCATCATCACACACCTGCTGAACACCTGCCCCCTCAGATTGGCTTCTGCCCTCAAGGACTCACAGAGGACCCCTCACTCTGTCTGGTGTTGTCTTCTTATGGGGACCATGAAGCCTTCACAGCAGGAAGGCATCTGGCCTGGCCTTTCAGTGAGCAGGCAAACACAGGCAGGGGCCTGGAGGGATGGGACGAGGGTGCTCTGGCAGAGAGGGCCCCTTAGGCCAAGGTCAGCTGTGGCGGGGCATGTTCACAGAGGCAAGTGCATTGTAACATTTCCTGGTGGCATCAAAGGAGGAACAACTTGTGCGTTTACTCACCACTCACGGTTTGCAGACTAGAGCTGGATTGCAGGTGTTGGTGGGCTGATAAGGGAATGACCCTTCAAAGGAAATTAAGAAAGAGAGCTTCCTTCCTAGTAAGGTAGAACACTGCAGAAATGGGACTGAGTTCCAGAGGAGGTGACCAGCCTCGTGCCAAGACCAAGGGGCTCGGACCCTCATGCTCTGGACATTTCCCATCAGATGGGATCAGATGGAGGCAGCTCCCTGAAGGGGCACCCTTCCGCCTGAGGTCCCAGGGGCACCTCACTGTGACCACAGATGGCTTCCTGGGAGGGCGGCCTCAGAAGAGCTGCCACAGCCTACACGGACTGCTCCAGGCCTACATTTGCGGGGTTCGGTGACAGACGGGGAGCTCTGAGAGGGATCGTTGCTGCATTGCAGAAACTCAGCCTGGTTGCCTTCAGGGGTCAGAGGAGAGAGCCTAGAGCTGGTGAAGAGGGGAAGTGGGAGAGTAGGGAAGATTGTGGGATGTTGTGTGGATGGAGCTGGGATCTGGTTGGAATTCAGACATAATGGAGAGACTGAGGGGGGACCCCCAGGCTTCCTTGGCCTGTGGATCCGTCTGTCAGGAAAATAGAGTGATCCTTACAAAGGGGAGCCAGGGAAGGAAAGGGGGAGATGAGTGCCGCTTGGGAGCATTGATGAGGTTGAGAGCCCCAGGCAGCCTCTGGTGGTGTGAGTGGGCTCAGGGCCAAAGGCCAGAGCTTGCTACAGATAGGATTTTGAACTTGTCTGCTTGTCCCCCAGAATGCCAGTGCTTAAGGCTGTAGACTTTAATATTAATAATGAGGAACAATTGGGGCACTACTTGCTAATGTTTGTTGAACTCTTTTTATGAACTAGGGCTTTCTGTACATTATGTCAGCCTTGTGAGACAGGGACAGTCATTGTGCCCATTTCACAGGTGAGAAAACTGAGATGCGGCAAGATTAGGGACTTGCCCAAGGCCACATGGCTGGGGACTGATGGGGCTGAGATCTTAGACCAGGCCTTTAACACCTGGTGCTGAGCAGCCCCATTTCAGCTGCCATCTCTCAGGGACTCCCAGCCCCATCCAGACTGCATCCAGACCCCAGCACTTGGGTCAGGGGCTCCAAGACCCCTTGGTGCAGCCCCCTAGAGGTCTGATGGAGTGTTCTTAGGGAAGGGACATCCAAGTGCCTAGCAGCCTGCTCTGTATGGACAGTTCCTGATAAAGAGAACCCACAAAGCCAGCACCTAGCTAGCCTGTGTCCCTGCAGCCCACGCTAGAGCGTGCCACTCTGCCCATGGTTAAATCAAGTCCTGCTGTGGAAAACAAACTTATGGCTGAGGTCACCAGAGAGACCTTCCCCATTGAATCTCTGGCTTTGGGCAGTTCAGCCTCCACGCCATTTGTGAGTAATTCCGGGGACTTGTCTCTTCTGAGCCACCTGCTCTGCCTGGAATGAGGCAGCCCTCCTCTGCAGGCGCTGCCCCCGCTCTCCAAACAGCAAAACTGTGAAGTGGAAAATGGAGATGCTGTTAGAAGGAAAGGGGCAGGGGAAGCAGAGGAGACCAGAGCTGTCCTCTCTCCTGGCACAGGGCAAGCAGCCCAGTGTATGTTGGTGCTGGCTGTGTGACCCTGAATGAACCAATCACCCTCTTTGGGCTGCAGGTTCCTCTTTGTGCAGGAACAGGTCATCGGAGTCCCAACAGTCCGGTTGTCTGTACGCATGTAAAAATATTTTGCCTTGAGATGACATGCAAATGTTTTCCTCCTAATTCCACTTCTTCCTGAATCTGTGGCTTCCTCTGGGTACCAGCCCACCCCACCCTGTATTCAGTGCCAGCCTTTTGTTTTGAAGTCAAGGACACCCAGCTGGGAAGACGTTGAGCCAAGGGCTGTGACTCACTTCCGGTTCCCCACAAGATCCTCAGACCTCAGGACCTCTTTCCTGGGCACCATGTGGCATGTGCTGGGGCTCCTGGGCCTGCAGAGACCTGGGAAGGCCTGTCTTCTCCCAGAAACGTGTCCTTTTCCACACGCGGTCTGACTGTGGATGTCACAGTGCGGTTTACTCTCAGTTAACGCTGCTGTCTGCCCCAGGAGGCTGAGCGGATGAGGGAGGTGGAGGAGGACAGCAGATGCTGGCTGAGGAAGGGGTAGCGACGCTGACAGCAGCTTAGCGGGGCCTGCCTAGCCGTGGTGAGGCTCCAAAGCGTGTGTGCAAAATAAGCGTGTGTGTAAGAGCCCCTCCCTACTGGGGAGGGGCTAGGATAAAGTGTTGAAGAGACCAGTCCAGCCTATAGGACAAGTCTAGCTCATTCTCCAGCCTCGGGGTGTGGAGCGCAGGCTGTGCACATGGCATGGCCCAGGCTGCACCTCAGCACCTTCCCAGCACTGCAGCCTCTCCAGAACCCTCAGGCAGCTGGGTCATCCAACTCAGAGAAGGCAAGGCCCATAGAGATGACCAGCCTCATGGCTCCTGGACCCACTCCCGAGCAGCATGGCCTCCTAGGGGTCCCAGGGCAGCTGGTGCAGAGGAGAAGCATTTGCTAGATTGAGCAGGGGGATCGGAAGGGGAGTCATAAAGGTGTGCTGTGTTCTGCCTCACGTGCCTTTCCCACATCTGGCAGGGCTAGGAGGGAACCCTGCTTTCCTGCATTCAGTCACTCAGACTTGCTGCCCTCGTGCATGCTCCCTGGTAGCTCCCCTGGGATGAGACAGCCATCTGTCCCCATCAGCCAGGGTCACTCTGGACAAAACACCCAAATCTCAGTCCTTTGATGCTGCTGGGAAAGGTGTGAGGTGGCTTTGGAACTCCCACGCTGTCCTGCAACAGTGCTCAGGCCCCAGCCAGCACCAACCCTATCCCCTCCCACCCACTCCCCACCAAGGAGCGAGTCTAAGGAGGGCCCCAGGCCTGCACAGTTTGGGCTGCTGCTTCTGGGGGGCATTGACTCTGCTGCTCATGACTGGGAGGTGGGTGGATGGGAAGGGGGTTCCCCAGGAGGAGCACTGGCCAGCATGGTCCCCTGCCTGGGTATCCACTGTCTCTCTCAGTTAGTGATCAGGGCTGCCAGAGTCACTGGAGAGCCTGGAGCCCCCGGCTCTGCGCAGAGCAGTGCAGATGCACCTTTGTCCTCCAACGCTGCAGGCAGAAGCAGGGCTCAGCACCGCTGAGAGGGCATCATGGGGCAGCCTGGGCTGGGGAAAGGGAGCTACCCTGAGATCAGAGGAGGTGTGGGGGTCCTCGAGGCCAGCCCTCCAGATACACTGACCCCATAGACCCAGGAGGAGAAGAAAGAGGGCATTTCAGGCAGAGGAACAGCACATGCAAAGGCCCCAAGTGAGGATATACAAAAGGCAGTGCAGGCGGGAGGCTTGAACTCTGGAGTGGGCAGTGAGCATTGACAGTGGGGAGGGAACAGTGTGACTGCCTGGTACCCTTAGCTGTGGGTGTTCCAGAGAGAGAAACTGAGGCAGAATGTGTCACATGAGCACTGACCAGAAGGCCCTAACCTCAGTCCTGCATCTTGCTTGAGTTAGTAGGGAAGTCTGGAGACCTCTCTCTCTCTCCCCCACCATTCCCAGGCCCATTCCAGAGTTCCCTCCTCCGGTAAGCCCCTGGGATCGCTCGGACCACTCAGATCTCACTCCTGAGTGTATGCAGCCTGCTTTTTGGATTTATGAAGCTCCTGTCCTGGCTTATTTGGCCATCCTGTGTAAGGAGCATTTGGAAAACTCTCTCTCTCTCTCAGTACCAGGCACAGAGCCAGAGTTAGGCAGAAAGTAAGGGATGAACTCATTCAAACTGCTCATGCCCTAAAACTCCAGGTGACTGGCTGGAGTAGCTGCATAGGAACTAGGGTGCTCTGTGCTGGGAGCTGGTCCCTGGTGGGGGCAGCAGAACTTTACTGAATGATGGAAGGCATGGGTGAAAGCCAGTGTGGAGGGGATTGGAGGCACTGTGGGCTGTTCTCGAGGGCGGTGGCGACTTTCCTTTCCAGGGGAGATGCAGTAGGGAGAGCATCGGCGTCAGTGCTGGTTCCTGTCCTGGTTCCACCAGGCCGAACAGCTGTCCTCCTAGAGCGGCCCTGGGTTCAGTTCCTTGCTGCCCAGGAGGCCACAGTGTGAGGGGGCTGTGTGGAGGGGGGCAAGACCAGAGCGAGTGCAAGTGGGGACGCTGGCTCCTGGTCTGCAGGATGGAGAACCTGTTCATCAACCGCTTCATGCACATGTTCCAGTCTTCCTGGAGCGACTTCGCTGATTTCGAGAAAATCTTTGTCAAGATCAGCAACACTATTTCTGGTGAGTGTACACACCCCTTCCCCCGGGTCTCTCGTGGGGCTGGGGAGATTTGCCTGGGACTAGGAAAGGGCCGCCCCACCCCTGCTCCCACTTGGCAGCCGGCTCCTCCCCATCAGCCAGGCCCACACCCCTGCCACAGCCCCCGCAGTTTCCCAGTGGTCCCCCTCCTGCCCAGAGCTTTCGCCTCCTTGGACACTGAGGGCTAAGCACCCTCAACCTCACTTCGTCATCGAAGGTCTCAGAAGTGTCAGAACTTTGTATTTACGTGAATTGGTCATTTATGGCACACCTGCAGAGTAAAAGCAGAACTTAGCGTGTTTTTTAAGCATTTACAGAAAAGTGACCTTGGGTTTGCTTGGACTAGGATATGTTTGGTAGGTGTTGACTTGCAATAGCAACATAATTATCAGGGATGGTCCAGGAAGGAAAAACAGTAAAGATAAGGAAACAGGAATGATGGGTGAAGAATGGGCGTTGAAATAAGCACCTGGGAAGACCCTGCATAGACTTCTCTCCAGGAGGCCCCTCTGCTCCCTCCTTCTCCCCCTTCTCCCCTCCTTCTCCTCTCCTTCTTCCTCCTTCTCCCTCTTTCTTCCTCCTTCTCCCTCCTTCTCCCTACATCTCCCTCCATCTCCCCTCCTTCTCCCCTCCTTCTCCTTCCTTCTCCCTTCTTCTCCCCTCCTTCTCCCTCCTTCTTCCCTTTTCTCTCCTCTTCTCCCATCCTTCTCCCCTCTTCTCCCTTCAACTTAGGTGGAAGGTCTTGAGTCTCCCTTTCCCCTAGAGGCACAATGTTGTACAGCAGATCTCTAGAACATATTCATCTTGCTGAACTGAAACTTCTTGGTCGTTGGGTAGTAACTCCGCATTTCCCCTCCCGCAGCTCCGGGCAACCACCATTCTGATTTTAGGAGTGTGACTGTTAACGACCACGTGTCAGTGGCATCGTGTAATATTTGTCTCCCCATGACTGGCGGGTTTCCTTAGCATCATGTCCTCTGTGTTCACCCACGCTGGCAAACTGCAGGGTTTCCTTCCTTTCTTAAGGCTGTTTTCACACCTCGGCTGTTAGGAAGTGTGCTGCAGTGACCATGGGAGTGTGGATATCTCTTCCAGATCCTGATTTAAGTTCTTTGGGATAAATACCCAGAAGTGGGATTGCTGGATCATACAGTAGTTCTACTTTTAATTTTGGGGGACCCCACCCTACTGTTTTCCATAGTGGCCACACATTTTGCATTCCCACCAGCAGTGCACAAGGTTCCAGTTTCTCCACACCCTGTCTTGTTCTTATGATAGCCATCCGGACAGGTGCGAAGCGGTACCCCATTGTGGTTCTTATTTGCACTTCCCTTTGATTAGTGACATTGAGCAATTTTTCATATACCTGCTGGCCATTTGTACGTCTTCTTCAGAAAAATGTCTGTTCCAGTCTTTTGTCCATTTGTTAATCAGGTTATTAGTTTTTTTGCTATTGAGTTGTAGGGGTTCTTTATATATTTGGGAGATGAACCATTTATCAGATATTCAGTTCACACGTGTCTGCTACTCTGTAGGTTCTTTTCACTCTGTTGACTGTTCCTTTGCTGTGCAGAAACTTTTTAGTTTGGTGCAATCCCATCTGTCCATTTTTGGTGGTGTTCTTGAGAACGGAATTCCCCAGGAGCCTTCTGAGCCACCAGGGGCAGGCAGCTCATGGAGAACAGGGTAGTGCCATGTCCTGAGCCAGGGGTCGGGCAGTAGGGCACAGCCAGCGGGATTCATGGTTGACCAGCTGGCCGGCAAACACCTGGGGGATGGGACCCAGCAGGGACTCTGGTCCTCAGCCAGGTTCAGAAGGGCTGCAGCCCGGGTTGCCACTACTCAGAGCTTGGGCAAGGCCTAGTTTTCTCCCCTTTAGAGCGGGTCATGAACCACTGGCAGGAAGACCTCATGTTTGGCTACCAGTTCCTGAATGGCTGCAACCCAGTGTTGATCCGGCGCTGCACGAAACTGCCCAAGAAGCTCCCTGTGACCACAGAGATGGTGGAGTGCAGCCTGGAGCGGCAGCTCACCTTGCAGCAGGAGGTCGAGGTAGGACCTGGTTGTTGGATGACTTCAGCCATGGCCAGCTCAGATGGCTAGGTCACGCTTTGTGCGGCAGAAAGCACTTTCTGCCGGCTGGTGCTCACGAACCTGTCTCCAGGCGCCTCTGCCAGGCTGAGGAGATCAGCTGCCCTCGGTGAGGGGGTCTCCTCCTTTCCCTGGGCATTTATGGAAAATGTCTTGTCCAGTGTGGGAGGATGCATTGACGGTGGTAATTCTCAGTGCTCAGGGCTGGGAGCATGCCTGTATTTTCAACGTCAGTGTCACTAATTAAAAGAGCTCCCCCTCGGTAGGGGCTAGTTGTGGGTCAGGCTTTGTGACAGAAGCTTTACACACACGGCTGTTGGGTTGTCACCCACCTTGCAAAGGTAAGGAAACTGGAGAAAGGCGCAAGCCTTGTAACAGCACAAGGAAAAGAGAGAAAATAGGTGGAATTTTTAACTTTCTAATTAAAAATGTTGGTGTCTTCTGCTTCTGCCCTCACCTTCCTCCCAGCCCTCCTTCTGGCTCACCTGCAGGGAGCTGAGGCTCAGAGATGGTCCTGGCTCTCCAGTTGGTTGGCCGCTCCCACCAGAGCCAGCACAACGGTCCCCTGCCCCCAGGTGTCTAGGTGGCCTTCTGTTTCTAGTCATATGTCTTGTTTGCTCACCTTGCCTTGGGGCCCCAGCGAGGGAAGGGGGGTCTGTGCCATCTGTGGACAGCCCGCTCAGCCCCCACCACCTGCCCACCTGGCTCTAGAGGGCCACCTGCCCAGCTGACCATCCCCCACCCCGGGGCACATGGTCCCAACCCCTGCACCCTGGACTGCCAGACCCCCAGGACGCTAACAGGTCACATGGACCGCTGACCAGGGCCGCACATGCCCCCACACAGGCACACACTCACACACACGCACACACAGCGGTATCCTTTGTAGGTTCCATTTCTGGCCAGATGAACATTGATTCGGTGGCTATGGGTTCCACACTTCAAGCCAGAGAATCCCACAACCTCGAGAGCCACAGAGTTGTACAATGGGAAGGGACTGCATAGCCCTCTGGCCGGCGGACAGCTTCGCTTGCCAGTCCTTGCCACCTCCAGAGCTGGGGGTTGTGGCTGTCTTTGTCAGAATGGCCACTTTTCCTCTGAGTGATGGTCTAGAGGCTCAGCCATGGTTTTTGTCACAAAGCAATAATCTAATAGCCACCACTGACTAGAGTCTTACATGCCATCCATCTCTTACACACACTCCACTGATCTCTTACACACACACTACCCATCTCTTACACACACAGCACCCATCTCTTACACATGCCTCCCATCTCTTACACACACACCAATTTCTTGCGTGCCATCCCTTACACACATTTCCCATCTCTTACACACACCTGCCATCTCTTACACACACCTCCCATGTCCTATAGCACAATTCTTAATTCCCTGAATCAGTCATTAGGACCAGGAAAATGGAGCCTGTGGGCCAAAAGGAGAGGACAGGGACACCAGACAGGCAAGAACACCAGTATCCAGCGCAGAATCCCAGAACATCAGAACTAAGAGATAGATAGGGTCTCCCCCCTTACTTTTCAGAAGGATGACACTGAGACCCAGAGAGGAGGTGACTTGGGATAACAGAGCAGTGCCCCTGGCACGGGCCCAAATTCCAGGCTGCCTGGTTCCCTGGCCTGGGTTCCGAGGGGCCTCTTGCTAGCCTGGCATTCATCACCTTAACTAACCTGGGTCTCCTTGAGATTGGATTGGCAGCCATTCCTAGGTAGTACTCACGATGGTCATGTCCACTCTGACAGTCCAGTTGTCCAGCCCATCACAGGAGCCCACCCAGCCCAGTGACCCACCAACCCATAGGCCTCTACCTTCTTGACAAGGTGATCCTGAGGGTCCCAGTCACACGTTCTCCTGAAACCAGCTTCTCCCCACACTCCTGCCTGATGAGCGGTGGGCACAAACTCCGTCCTCTCCACCCCTGCCCCACACACATTGCAGACAGACAGCCCAGAGCTCATCACTGGTGCCAGGTGACTGCCAGGGTCCCTCGAGCTGAAAAAGGAGGAAGATGGTGACCAGGCCCTTAGCTCCTGTCCCATGTTCGGTCCCCCCTAAGGGGGATTCCTAAAGCTTGTGCTGGGCGGTCCAGCATGCCCTCTGCAGGGTTGTGGACACACATCTCACCTGAGCACTGGTGGACCCGGCTCTGCAGCATCAGGGATCACCCCCTCCAGCAGCATCCATTACTTGCTTAAAATGAGAAAAACTTTAGAAGAAGTGCCCCATCCTCCTCCCAAATTCTTCAAGTTCTGGCCTGAGCAGGCCCCAGCTTTAAGAAAGGAACCCTCACGGGGCGCCTGGGTGGCTCAGTGGGTTAAAGCCTCTGCCTTCAGCTCAGGTCATGATCCCAGGGTCCTGGGATCGAGCCCCGCATTGGGCTCTCTGCTCCGCGGGGAGCCTGCTTTCTCCTCTCTCTCTGCCTGCTTGTGATCTCTATCTGTCAAATAAATAAATAAAATCTTAAAAAAAAAAAAGAAAAAGAAAGGAACCCTCACAGCTCTCAGGCTGGGCTCCCTGTAGAAGACTGATCTATAGTCTGTGTAGTCTGTGAAGAGTGGCTTTCTCCCTTCCCTACATCCCAGGGACATGGCTTTTTTTTTTTTTTTTTTGAAGTATAACAACCCCAGAAAAAGAGCCCAAATCAGGAGTGTCAGCAAGATCAATGAATTTTCACCGAGTGACCCCACCTTGCCACCAACCTCAGACCAGGCTGCAGAACACACCATCCAGAGACACAACCCCTCTTGACCCTGAAGAGTGTACCCTCCCCCAAGGTCTAAGGACCCTCCCCAGGACCCTGCGACCCCTACCCCTGCAGATGCCCCTGCAGAACCTTCCACCCCAGAAGCCCCGGCCCCATTTCTCCTCCCAAGGGTGACATGTCGTGACACCGTGTAAGTGCAGGCCATCGGCGGTGCTCTTCCAAATTTGCATTCTTGTGTATCTCGTCTGCACCCTATCTGCTTCCTTATGATGCTGCCGCTCTGGGGGGTCGTCCAGCATCTTGCATGAGGGCCACGCAGCTTCCAGGGACAACACATGCAGACCAGGCCCCTGCCATTCCTTCACATCACCAGAAAACCGCCACAACCTCTGAACACTCTGGATGCGAATCAGCCCAGAGTCAGAGAACAAAACTGTCCATTCGGAGCTCTGATCAGATGTTAGGGGCCTCTAAAGCCACCTCTCCCTCCCCCTGGGCCTGGTTCTTGGGTCCATGTGAGGCTGACGCGGCCATATTTCCTCTTGCCTCCTGCAGCAAGGGAACATCTTCATCGTGGACTTTGAGCTGCTGGATGGCATTGATGCCAACAAAACAGACCCCTGCACCCTGCAGTTCCTGGCGGCGCCCATCTGCTTGCTGTACAAGAATCTGGCCAACAAGATTGTCCCCATTGCCATCCAGGTAGGCCATCACCCTGCTCCTTTGCTGGAAAGCTCTGCCCTCAGCAGCCAGGGCTTGGCAGGGAGTTTCCTGGGCGTCTCCACCTGAACCTCCAGGAGGACATGACCACTCTGCCTCGCATCTCCTAGGGTGGATGCCAGGTAGATAAAAAAAAAAAAAAACAAGAACTTAGGGCTTCCTGCAGCAGTGGGGAGAGCTGGCCCCAAGCAGCAGGAAGGGCTCCCCTCCCCAAAATACACTTGACAGATTCCTGCTGAGCACCTGCCCTGGGATAACATACCACCCACCTCACTCCCTCCCAGCATCCTGACCAGGGGCCCCAGGTCGGAGCATCAAAAGGGGTCTGGCAGGTGAGGCTGTGAGATGAGCTATAGACTGAGGCCACCAGGGGACACCATGGAGGCTGGGGTCAGGAAGGGGCCAGTCCTGCAGTGCTGCCTTCTAGCGCCCAGGGGTTCTTTTTTCTACCAAAGATGATGGAAGAGAAAGAGGAGCAGTTCGGGTGAATGGGGGCAGGGGCGGAGCATCCTCTCTCCCACTCCTGGCTGCTGCTTCCTCAGAGCACCAAGCACTCTGTGACCGCTGGTGTGCAGACAGCGGGAAAGCAACACCCAGCACAGGACCAGGTGTAGGTCTGTGAAGAGGGCTGCTGCCCAGGGGCCCCTGTGGGGGACATATGGACAAGCCATCTGCAGACTTGACTTTGAGCCAGCTGTGAACCGTGCGTTGAGTGCTATGGGCATAAGAGCCACTGGTTTGCCCTGTGCTGACCCCATGACAAGACTGTCCCAAAGGTTAGCCTGCACAGTCCACAATCCCTTACCCTCAATTCTGAAATCTAAGAAGTCCTAAAACTGCTAGGTTTTTCAAAAGTGTGCACCAAATTCATTGGCAGCAAAACTTGCTCTGAACCAAAAGGAGAGACTGTTTAGAAGCTTCGCCCCACCCAGTGTGGTACGCATGTGTATCATAGAGAAGTACTGACGCATTTGATTGTAAAATAGTGTGTTGCCCCAGACCTGGTGTAGGGGGAGAAAGGTGTCACCAAATGAAGTATATGCACTGCTAAAATCCTAAAACTTCTGGATTCTGAGACACGTGGTCATCAGGGTTTCAGACTAGGACCTGGCTCAAGTTATATCATCGTCATGACAAGGCTCCGAGGTCGGGGACTGCTGCCGTGAGTCATGTCCAGCACATGAGAGGACAGACACACGTGCACAGTCAGCATAGTGGGGCTTAGTGCCAGGCTGTCTGGCTCCAGAGTTCATGCTCTCCCAGTCCTGGTCTCGGGCACATCTTCCCCCAGAGGAATTCCCGGACTAGCAGAGAGAAGCTCTGAGCTTAAGAAACTGAAGCTAAAGGTAAAGGGACAGGAGATGGGAGAAGAGCAAACAGGACTGAGAGACCTGAGGAGAGGAGCCGTTTACCAGTGGCAGGCACCCTGAAGCAGCCTGTCCTCCAGAGAATTCTTGGAGTGGCCTGGAGTCAGGGGCCTAGCTTCAGTACCAGCTCTGTCACTTGCTAGCAGACGTGGGACCTTGGGCAAGTCACAATGTTCCTGAATCTCTTCCCTCTGTTAAAAATGCAACCTTTGCAAACTATGAAGAACCATGAAAATAAAACCAAAAGAATAAATCCAAACTTTGGTTCTTTGAAAGGTTCAAGAAAATCGAAAGAAAAAAACAAAAATATGTAAGAGTAGGAATAAGACATAATCACAAGGGTGTTTGTTTTCTTTAAAAGTAATAGCATGGCATCAAATTTGTAAAGTTGGAAGCAATGGGTAAAAACCTGGCAAAATATAAATTATGAGAAGAAATTGTAGAAAACAGGCCAATATCCATATAAGCACCTGGGAAGCTGACTGAACGTCTAGTGGGGTGAGGGGCCCGGGAACTGAGCAGCTGAGCTCCAGCCAGCCTTTACCCAGAGGACATTTGCTGAGCTGTTTCACGGGCTTCGGCTCCAGATCTCGTTCTGGGAAGATGGCATAACCTTCATGCCGAACACCCCAACAGGCAGACTCCCAAAGAAAGCTGAAGACAAATCCAAGTTACAAATACAGATTTTATTTTGTTTTTTGAAGATTTTATTTATTTATTTGACAGAGAGCAAGTGAGAGAACACAAGTAGAGGGAGTGGGAGAGGGAGAAGCAGGCTTCCCGCCAGGCTGGGAAGCCAGGGTGATAGGGGCTCAGGGACAGGACTGAGCACCTGCACCACAGAACAGGTGTGTCCCAGCTGGAGGAGCACTCAGTGGGACACTCTCTCCTAGAACAGCCCTTCCGGGGCCCAGCAGCCTGTCCTCTAGCGCCCAGTCCGTGGAGACCATAGAGATGCAAGCCCTCACAGTTAGGGCATCACAAGCATCGCTCATGGCGGGAAAACAAACGAAGACCATCTGAAGGCAGCAGAGGGTTGATTGAATGAACTCTCTTATGTCCAGACAATGAACTGTTGCACCACCTTTAAAAGGAATGAACTTGATGTATCGCAGCAGACCTGAGGGGTTTCCACAGTGAGCTAACAAAGCAGAAGGGAGGCTATCGGGCAGAGATCATCACATCTCCTCTGTGCAAACGGAACGTAGGAAGCAGCACACCATTGACAAGACAGTACTTGCGGGTGTGGGAGGTGCAGAAGGACACAGCCTCACCAGTGGAGAGCACTGGGATGGACTGGCTGGGGCACAGGCGAGCAAGAGAAAGAAGAGAAAGGCATTTATTACAGCAGTGTTCGACTTATGGAACATTGAACAGGTTAATATGCACACACGCAAAGAGCTGGGTTATGAGATTTATTAATACGCTCTTCTGAAGTGACCAAAATTGTTTTTTCTAATCAGAAACAAAAAACTACTTTGTTAACCAAAACACAAATTTAAAAAACAAAAACAAGTTGTCCAGGGTACATTCTGGACTCCCACAGTGTCACTGAGCCTGGACAGAAGTGGGGAGGACAGGACGATGGGTAGGAGAGGGGAAGGCCCAAGCCGGCATGGCCTTCTAGGCCAGTGGAAGAGTTCCAGGAGGAAAGCAAGGGAGAGTCTGGACTAGGCAGTGAGAGTGAAGAGAAGGGCTGAAGGCAGTGCCCAGGCCCCATCCCAGCTCAGCTGTTTACCCACTGTTGTGGCTTGGGAGACCCGTGCAACCACTCGGAGCCTCAGTTTCCCCCTATGTAAAATAGGAATACCTGCCTTGCAGGGTGCTGGTGAGGATAAAAAGAGACAGTACAGGCAGGGTCCCTCACAGCAGAGGGTGTCCTCAGCCACAGGGCCATGTTCCAGAGCGTGACAGGCCACCCATGTGTTCTGGAGACCAGGTGCGCAGGCAGATGTCTAAGGGGCCAGGCAATTAGTACAGAATGAATGAAGCTCCATGGAGGAGAGCCGACTCTGGGAGGGGAGGGACAGAGTGGAGGGGGCAGCCATGGTGGGGGTTAGCCAGAGAGCGGAGCCAGTGGAAGAGAAGAGAGCTGCAGGGCAGGGAGTGTGGGAGGGGTGTGACCACAGGGAGGGGCGGGGGCAGAGGGGCAGAGGGGCAGAGAGGGCACTGTTTAAAAAAGGCATGAGCCTTTTCTGGGAGAATGTTCATTCAGAGTTCACAGACTTAGTTTTTGAAGAAAACCTGGTAATCCCGATTTTTATGTGAAATTCTCTGATAATTAAAAGTTGGCAACTAAATCTCATTAATAAATAAGCAAACATGAATAGTGTGAAAGTCAGACTGCTCTATCCTGGGTGAGCGGGACGGAACCGAGTCTAGAGCCACTGGCCACCCAGGGTCATAGAGCACTTGAGATGTGGTTAGTCCAACTTCTGTAAGTGCAAAATACATGCCTGATTTCAAAGGCCTAGAATGAGAAAAAAAAATGTTAAAATATCTCATTAATAATTTTATATTATTTTCATGTTGAAATATTTTCAAAATATTGGGTAAAACAAAATTACCAGAAGGTTCACCTCTTTCTTTTTACTTTTATTACTGCAGCCACCTGAACATTTTAAATTCCATATGTGGCTTGCACTAGATTTCTACTGGACAACACTATGTTCAAAGGAGAGACAGGGAAATTACCTTCCCAAATACTTACCATGACCTTAAGGAGTCCACTGGATTTGGCCCCTCCCCACAGTCCCGGACAGCTGTCCTCCTCGGTTGGTCACTGTGCAGCCACACTGGTCTCCAAAGAGCCTAAGGGGCAGCCCAGCTCCTGCCCACCCCAGCCCACCCCAGCCTGCAGTTCCTCCAGCCCAAATGCTGCTCCTCCACTCCAGATAATTCCTTCTCATCCTAAATGTTCACCCCTCCAAGGCTCCCTGTCCTCCTCCAAAAGAGGAGGTAATGACAGCGCTCGCATGACCTCACACTGTCAAGTCCAGAAGCTATGCAGTCTAGTGGCTGTTGTCATGGGCAAAGCTAGGGACCAAGGAATTGGTGGGCAGAGAGGGCCAAACGTAGGGCTACCTCTGCAGAGATGACAGCGGCCAGATCATGGACTTTCGGGGATTTCTTTTCTGGCATTAAGAGGTGACTGGTTTTAGAGAAGATTGACATAACATGATTTGCATTCAGGAAAAAAAAGTCACCTTGGCCCCAGTGTGGAGTTGAAACTGGAAAGGCAAAGGCAAGCTTTGTTCTCTGACAGGAGGCAGCTGGCTACAAGTCTGGGCTCAAGTGACAGGGACCTAGGTCACTGCATCCTGAGGACCTTAGAGCCCTGGAACTGGAGGAGCTACTGGAGGGCAAGAAGGGAAGTCAGGTGCACCAGCCCAAGCCTGGGGAACAGCAACATTAAGGGAACAAGGGAGGAAGGGAACGTATGGGACATGGAAAATCAGCAGTCAGAGCAGTGGGAAGAATCCAGGAGGGAGAGAGCAGGCAAGGGAGGTGAGAAAGATGGGGGCAGGAGTAGAAGAGCAGAGCAACACACTCTAAGCACCTAAGCTGGTCATCTTAGTCACTTAGTCATCGTAGTCACTGGGCCATCTTAGTCACTTGCCGTCACTCTGGGAGGTAAGTAAAAAGTGTGGCAGATGGTGGAACCAGAGCTCAGAGAGGCTTAGGTGCCCAGTAGTCCTACAGCTAGTAGGTGTGGTCACTGGGGTGGGAAATGCAAACCCTAGACCCTCTGCCCTCCTCCATGATCCTCTCATGACTCCAAGACCACTGTTTAAGAAATCTGGACTCTTCTGGAATTTCCTGAGATGCCAGGCTTTCGTATATAGAACAAAATATTACCATGTATTTTCTTTCTCCAATGTATCAGCTCAACCAAACCCCAGGAGATGAAAACCCGATTTTTCTCCCTTCGGATGCAAAATATGACTGGCTTCTAGCCAAAATCTGGGTGCGCTCCAGTGACTTCCACGTCCACCAGACCATCACCCACCTTCTGCGCACACACCTGGTATCTGAAGTTTTTGGCATTGCCCTGTACCGCCAGCTGCCCACCGTTCACCCCGTTTTCAAGGTATCGCAAGCTACCAGTGCCCTCAGCTGGTGAAGGAGGGCATTGGCACATGGTGGGGGGTGGCAGAGGGAGGGAGGCGGGACCCTGACACCCCCACAGGGCTGGGGCCAGGAGTAGCCGGCAGAGAGGGGCCCTTAGGGATGCTCAGGTAGTGGTACTACAGCTCTGAGGCTGCTGGTTCCTGAGGACACGAGGCCTGGGCCTGACAGGGCCTCACTGGCCTGGGAGCAGAAGTTGAAGAGGCAGATGACATCCATGTGACCCTGGTCTGATCCCAGGTACCACCATCACTGCCCTTCTCTTCCTGAACCTCGCTGGCACGGACTCCTGGGACGCGGCAGGCTCTGGGCCTGTTTCCCCATCTGTGCAGCAGGCATCGAAGAGGACACCTGCCTCATAGGATTCCCGTCAGAACCAAAAAGAGTTAACAAATTCCAGAGCTGAAAATACCTGGCACATAGTTCAGCTCTATACAAGGGCTGGCTGTTATCATTTTCATCATTATCGGGTCACTAAGCGTCGAAGCGGCGGTCCCCAGGCCCCAGCAGCTCACCTCAGCCCTGGCATCACCCCTCCTTAGTGGACTGGGGTGCAGGGTGCTGGGGGTCTCTGGGGCACGTGGGGGGTGCAGCCCTGGTCAGGAGGCCTGGCCAGACCTTCTCTGAGGCCTTCTCCTGCTCCTCCCTGCAGCTTCTGGTGGCACACGTGCGGTTCACCATCGCCATCAACACCAAGGCCCGCGAGCAGCTCATCTGCGAGTACGGCCTCTTTGACAAGGTGGGCACCTCCCGTCCACCTCTGTGCAGGGCCCTGCCTCTCCAAACCTCCACCGCCAGCCCTGGTTTCCTCTCAGTTGTCAAGCATCTGGGCACCAGGGTGGCAGTGGGTGCCTGAGAAGGGTGGGGGGGTGGAGGTGCTCAGAGTGAAGCTCCCCAGGTCCTCTGGCCAGTCTGGCCCTTCTCTACGGGTGACCTGCCCCCTCCCCTCCCAATGCACTGTCTGCTTCTCTGCACTTCCTCACGTGGCCTGTGTCACCCCTGTACCCTCCTCCTCCTCCCCCCGCATCCTCTGGCTTGTGGCTGTGGATTCTGCCTCCCAGCCCCCACTCCTCCCCTCCTGCTCTGCTTCCCCTGGAGCACTACCACCCACCCTCTGCACTTCTGGGCCCACCCTCCTACCCTCCCCTCAGCTGGGTCTAACCCCTCCCTGTCCCTCAAGTTCTCCCTTGCTAAGCCCGGAGCCTCCCAGCAGCCATTGCCCTGCCCTTCCTCCTCTCCCAGCCCCGTTAGTGAGGCAGCCCGCTCATCAGTAAGGCTGAGCCCCCTCGTGGGCTGCAAATAACCAAACCCAAGTCAAACAAGCTGAAGCTGGAAAAGAAGTGTATTCTCTCAGAACCCAGAACATGACAGAGGGGAGGGGCTTCCAACCCCTCCCAAAATGGACTCAGGGACTCAAATAATGGCCCCAGGGGACAAATGCACTGGCTGGTACTCTCTTCTACTCTTTAAACTGTGCGGACCCCATTCCCCCAGAGGCTTTGCGGACAGGCTTTCCCCCACGGGAGGGGAATGGGACCTCATCCCAGGGAGTGCCAGGCTCATGTCCCCACGCAGGGACCGTCCTCTCCCATCCAAACAAAGTCCAGGGAGCAACTCCAATCACTCCAGCTTGGGTCATACGACCCTGTGGACCAACATGTGGCACTCCAGTACCCAAGTCATCCTTTACAAGGTCCTGTGGCCTGAATGCTCAGCCACCGTGTGTGCTGGGATGGGGACCAGGATGCCTCCTGTGCATCTCTCCCACTCTCACCTAAGCAAATACAGGCCCTCAAAAGAGTTGTGTGGCCCTGGGGGCTGGTATCTGCTCCTTTCTTGAGCCCAAAGCTCAGGTCACTGCAGTGCTTGCACTCCGGGCAGCCTGTGCTCAGAGCAAGAGCCCTGCCCTCCCGCAGCCTCCCCCAGTCCCTGCGCACACCCTTCGGCTGTAACCCCTCACATTAGATGGGGCCTCCCTAACATCTTCTGTGGGCTGCCTGGGTATTCTTGGAATTAAACAGCCCTCCTACCCCACCTCCTCAACCCCAGGACATGGGCTTGCCTGTCCGCATGCCCGGCCACCCGGGCTTCCTCTCACAGTTTCTCATGGTGAGCTCTGGGTGAGAAGGCTGGCCAGGGACAGCCAGCCTCAGCTCGTGCTCTCTCCCCTCCCACTCAAGGCCAACGCCACAGGGGGCGGTGGGCACGTGCAGATGGTGCAGAGGGCCATGCAGGACCTGACCTACACCTCCCTGTGCTTCCCTGAAGCCATCAAAGCTCGGGGAATGGACAGCGCAGAGGACATTCCCAACTACTTCTACCGGGATGACGGGCTTCTGGTGTGGGAGGCCATCAAGACGTGAGTGCCTGCTGGGGCCAAGGGACCCACTCTGTGCAAAATGAGTAGAGGTCCTGCAGGAGGAGAGGACCGGGGCATTGACAGGCCAGACCAGGGGCCTTGACCACTGACTCAGCGGGCCAGGGCATGGCTCCGTTGTCAGGGCCCTGAGACAGAGGAAGGTATGTGAGTAGGGGCAGGAATGAGTGACCCGGGTCTGGACATTAAGGAGTAAGTCACAGGGTCACCAGTGGAACCCTGCCCTGGGGCCCAGGGGTTCGGCTCTGCAGATCCTGGCCAGGTCACCCACTCCTAGCTGGGCCCCTCCTCCTGAGCCAGGTTCACGGCCGAGGTGGTAGGCATCTACTATGAGAGTGACCGGGTGGTGGCAGAGGACCAGGAGCTGCAGGACTTCGTGAAGGATGTGTACATGTACGGCATGCGGGGCAAGAAGACCTCAGGTACAGACCGCCTCCACTCTCCTCCTGGCAGGTTCTGCTCTTCCCTGCACCTCTGACTTTCCTTGGGTAGCACTGGCCCAAGGCATCCACCTTAGCACCTGGTGCTGGGGCCAGAGCTCCCAAGAGACCCCTGCCCACCAGTATGTCTCATGGGTACACCTCAGGGACTTTCTGTAGACACTGAGAACCAGGGTCGGAAACTTCAGGAACACTGGGCCATTGTCCCCTTCCAGTGTCTTGCCCGTGCGTGAGCCCCCAAAGTCCTCGTATGGGAGAACTCAGGGACTGGCGGAAGGGCGGGGGGAGGACATCTGTGGGTCATCAGTCCACTGCGCCCTCTGTCCCCCTGGGGTCAGGGCCTCAGCCACCCCCTGGCTCTGCCCTAGGTTTTCCCAAGTCCATCAAGACCAGAGAGAAGCTGTCGGAGTACCTAACGGTAGTGATCTTCACAGCCTCAGCCCAGCATGCAGCAGTCAACTTCGGCCAGGTGGATTAAGGCAGGGCGGGTCCTCTGGCCGGGACATTGCCAGAGTCACCTTACCTTGACTGCTGCTGATGGGCCCAGACAGAGCCGCCCCTCTTTCTAGTCTTCTGGGGCTGGTCTTGGTGATGGGAAGGAGGGTGGAAAGTGTCTGGGTCGTTGCTCCCTCTGTGGGGCAGGTAGGGGATGGCCTGCTGTTGCGGGAGGGGGGGGTGGCAGCTGGCTGACAAGGGGCCCAACCATGTCTGTGGCTGCCCCTGCAGTATGACTGGTGCTCCTGGATCCCCAATGCCCCCCCAACCATGCGGGCCCCACCACCAACGGCCAAAGGTGTGGTCACCATCGAGCAGATTGTGGATACTCTGCCAGACCGTGGCCGCTCCTGCTGGCATCTGGGAGCAGTATGGGCACTAAGCCAGTTCCAAGAAAATGAGGTGAGCAGGGGAGACATTCTGCCCCCTCCAAGGGGCAGGTTGCCCAGATTTAACCCATTCCTCCCTCTTGGGCCTTTGCGATTAAGGGCTTAGGCTAGACACCTGTTCTCCTGACTTCCAAGGCTGGGGGTGCCTAGGGGGTCCCAGGCCTGTGCTCGGATGGAGCTCGGGGTGGGGGAGGGGCAGGAGAGCACAGGGATTCTGCTCCACTGGTGACCACCCAGAGGGGACAACTGGGTATCCTGCCAGACACGCCCATGCACATACACCTTACTGAACCTAGTGTCAAAGCTGGGTATCTCCGACGCAACCCCATGGCATTAGCTCAGTGTCACACAGAATGACTGCCAGTTGAACCAGCCCCAGACCCATGGGCATTTTAGCGGTTGCTGAGGTTGCTTTGTTTGCTAATGTCCCCACTGACTCACTAACATCTTTGTATATGTGTCTTTGCACATGTGTTCAGGAGGGCCAGATGACGTGCTCCTCGTAGAGGAATTTCTGGGTCAGGGACCATTGAGACCGATGTGTCCTCCACAAACTAATCCCAAATCCCATCCTTTCTAGCCCTGGCTATGAAACTTGCCAGTTTTAACAATCCCATAGTTTTGAAAAAGACAGATCTAGTTTTGATTTGGAGACATCTGTGTGAGTGTGGAAATGAGCACAGCACCACAACACGGCCCGGCGGTGGCTGTCCCAGGCTGGAGAGGCTAGCGCTGGCCCCCGTGCTCCCGCTGCCCAGAGCCCAGACAGGAAGGCAGGAGTGCCGCAGAGGACAGGGCCCAGCAGGAGCAGACCGCTGCCCACCCGCATGCCACAGCCCCCCTGCGCCTGCACCATCCCACAAAGGGGGATTTTCCTGTTTCTCCCATTTATCTGAGACCCCAGACTGGGGGCATTCTTGGGGTACTCTCAGCAGGGGGAGGAGAAGGGGAAATGAGCACATGCTTCCTCACTTCCCCAGGGATGGTCTCTGGGGGTGAGACAAGGCCTGTCAGTTTGCATCACCTTGGCAAAGATTAACCGGTCTATGTTTCGGCCCTTAGCTGTTCCTGGGCATGTACCCAGAAGAGCATTTCATCGAGAAGCCTGTAAAAGAGGCCATGGCCCGATTCCGCAAGAACCTTGACACCATTGTTAGCGTGATCGCCGAGCGCAACAAGAAGAAGAAGCTGCCATATTACTACTTGTCCCCAGACCGGATTCCCAATAGTGTAGCCATCTAAATGGCCACCTGAGCCAGGCTCACGTGCAAATGGCCAGCTGCTCGCAGCCGAGCTCAGCATCCAGACTCCAGGCTGCCCAGGCAGGCAGGCCCACACGTGGCCCCCAGGGCAGACCTCCTGGCCGCTTGCTCTCCAGAGACTGCCCCGGCTCCTCAGGGCCCAGGCTGACTGGCTTCAAACCAAAGGCTTCCAGGTTGGGCCACGTTATGCCTCAGCTTCAGTGCATTTTCCAGTTTGTTCCTCAATCTTTAGTAAATCCCATACTTTGACCACCGTGGGCACACGGCAGGGACCCGTCCTATACAGAGCAGGACAATGTTGCTTCCTGCCCTAGGCCTCGCTCAGCGCTTCTCCACTGGGAGCGGTGAGAAGGTCAGGACCAATCTGCTCTTGCTGGGGGGCGTGGAATGATTCTCTTCGATTTATGCTTCGTCCAATTTCCTGCATATAGTAGGTGCCCAAATAAATCCTTATTGAATGAATGAACTGGTTATCCTAAAAGTAAAGGAGCGCATTTAAAACAAGCATCCGGGCACCTGGGTGGCTCATTGGTTAAGCGACTGCCTTCAGCTCAGGTCATGATCCTAGAGTCCGGGGATCGAGTCCCGCATCAGGCTCCCAGCTCCACGGGGAGTCTGCTTCTCCCTCTGACGTTCTCCTCGCTCATGCTCTCTCTCACTGTCTCTCTCTCTCTCAAATAAATAAATGTTAAAAAAAAAAAAAACACAAGCATCCGCCTGCATGTTATGTTCCAGCTCTTATGTTCCAGCAGTTATGTTCCTGCATGTTATGTTCCCCAAACAGCTCACATCCCTTCTTACGACCAAAAAAAAAAAAAAAAAAAGCCACAATCACTGTGATTCTATCTCAGCAAAAGCTCCACCCACCCCACAAAGCCCAGTCTAGACAGAAAGTGGTTCTTCCTCTTCGTTCCTCAGAAAGCTCCTACATTTTCTTCTGAACACATCCTTAATATCGTCCAGCCTGGGGAGGCATCTTTGATTCTCATCTCTACCCACCACCACCCCTCCAGGCCCAGGGCTTTGTCCGAACCTCTGTTGTTTTCTTCCCGCATGGTCTCTCCCTTGAACCCAAAGCCCATGCAGGACAAGGAACTCACCTTACTTGTGGCATGAGGCACCAGCCTGCTGCTCCCTCATTTCCCTCCTGCAAGGCACCTGGCAGGTTCTAGGCACTATATGGGAGCTGCAAGAGAGGACTTAAACTGACTTGTAAAATGCATTTCTTTCCCCACACCCAAGAAGCAGAGCCAGCCCTGAGCCTGGGCATGACGATCCGTTGTGTCCTCCTATACACACTTACCCAACCTATACCCCCAGCTCCTGGCTTCAGAATCAGATCACCAGGGTCTCCAGAATTTCTGGAAGATGTACCCAATGTGCTAGGTCAGAAACTCAAAGTCTAGGTCAAAGGCTTCCACTAGGGCCAATAAAGCATGGGAGAGGTCATGCAGGAGAAGGCTCCTGAAGCCACAAGTCCCTCTGAGGAAACTTGAGCACTGGGATGCGGACTAGAGAGAGTGAGGACTGGACATTTACTGCCCCAGACTCCCTACCATCCCTTTGAGAACTGCCCACACTGATGAGTGACCTTGGTGGTGGACTCCATAATCTTATGGTCGTGGTAAAGGCACTCACTCAGCTCCATGTTCCTGCGAGGGCCAACGTACCAACCTTTAGAAGCTGTGAGGCCATGTGAGCAAAGGAAGGAAGAGGAGCAGGCAGGAGTGATGATGCAGGCCTGATCCCGTGGGTACAACCAGGGAGGGAAGGAAGGTCTGGGTAGAATAGACTCCAGACCGCAGGGCACCTCGACGAAAGCCTCACTCAGCTAGTGGAGTCCTCAAACAAAAGTGGCCCATTACAGAAATCTTGCATCAGGCAGGAAAGACAAAAATGGTCTTGGCATGAAGGTCACAACAGATCCAAAGGTGTGGCAGCTGCAGCTGTTGGTTAATTATGTTCTGTGCAGCTGGCCCTTGGCCTTGCCCATTCCCCCACAGCTGGGTATTTAGTAGCACACCCCAGCACAGCTAAAGACTGGGAAAACCCCACTTCTGTGCACCCCACTTCTGTCTAAACCTCTGGCTGACCCCTAAGCCAAGCACCCATGTGGCCAGCTGCAAATAGCTCAACTGAGATCAAACCACTAACGCGACATTTGTTAAACAGCTCTCAGTTTCAGCTCAACCAAGTTAACTGCTTGCTTAAAAAAAAGTCCTCTTCAGAGGAATGTTAAGAGAACTCAGAATCTCTACAAAATGATATTCAAAATACCCAGGGCACAATCCAAAATTATTCAACATAAAAGGAAAATGTGACCTACTCTCAAGGGAAAAGGCAACCAAGAGAAACTGATCATATATGATAGCACAGATATTGGAATCAATAGATATTGATTTCAATGAAGCTTTTATACCTGTGCTTTGTGGGTTAAAGGAAATATATTACCAATTCATGAAAAGATAGGAAATCTCAGCAGAGAACTATACATGGTCAAAGAGAATAAGAAGGAGAAGAGAGCGAAGAGGAAGAAAAAGAATCATCATCAGATGGAAATTCTATAATTAAAAATATCTGGAAAAAATAATCTAGCAGAACAGAGACAAGAGAGCAAGGAATCAGTGAACTTGAAAACAGATCAATAGAAATGATCTAATCTGAAGCAAAAAGAGATTTTTTTTTTACATGAACAGAGCTTCAGAGATCTATGGGACAATACCAAAAGGTTTTACATACATGTCATTGGGAGTCCTAGAAGGAGAGGGGAGGTAAAAGACGATGGGGCAGAGCAAATATCTGAAGAAATAAAGGCCAAAAATTTCCCAAATTTGGTGAGAAACAAATTTATAGCTTCAAGTAGCTCAGCCAAACCTAAGCCCAAGCAGAATAAATACAAAGAAAACCATACTTCAGAGACAAAGAATGAAAGAGACTACAGAGAATTCTATAACCAGCAAAAATATTTCTTAAGTATGATAATGAAATAAAGAAATTTCCAGGTCCAATAAAATAAAGAGAATCTATTGCCAGTAGATCTACAAGAAATGCTCCCATGGAAACTCAGATCCTCAGGAAGGACAGGGCAGTATCAGATTGGTAAATATTTGGTAAATATAAGAGACTTTCTCCCCTCCTCCTTCCTTTAAAATAAATATCATTATTTGAAGCAAATATTACAACACTGTAATGTGGTATTTATAATACATGTAAACACAACAGGAAGATAGCATCAAAGACAATGGGTGTTGAAAGTCTGTTTCAGGCACATGGTTTCTACATCTTCTATCAAGGGGTATAATATTAATTCTAAGTAGTTTGTGAAATTGTAAGGAGGTAGATTATAACCTCTAGAGCAACCACTAAAATAATATAAATAAGTACAGTTAAAAACCAAGAGGACTTAAAATGGAATTCTAAAAATATATAAATAATTTAAAAGAAAGGAAAAAAAAAAGAGGAACAGAGAAACAAAAACACAGAGGACAAATCAAATAATAAAACACCAGGCACAGAACCAACCATATCAGTAATTACATCAAATGCTTTAAGGACTAAAAACTCCAGCTAAAAGGCAAAGATGATCAGAATAATTTAAAAATCAATACCCAACTACATGCAATATACAAGACACAGACTTTAAATCCATAGCAGCGTCAAGCAAATATTTTAGGTTTGGTATGCCACATACAATCTGCTGCACTTTTAATTGTTTTTAATTTTTTTGAGATTTTATTATTTTTTTGGCAGAGACACAGCAAAAGAGTGAAGGCAGATGATTAAGCCACCCAGGTGCCTGTTTTACAATTTTAAAAGGTTGTTTTAAAAAATGCAGCAGGGGGCACCTGGGTGGCTCAGTGGTTAAACGTCTGCCTTCGGCTCAAGTCATGATCCCAGGGTCTTGGCCCCACATCTCATCATCATCCCTGAGACATCCCTGCTCATCAGGGAGTCTGCTTCTCCCTCAGCCTCTGCTTCTGCTCCTTCCCCCACTTGTGCTCACACTCTCACTCTCTCTCTTAAATAAAATCTTCTAAAAATTAAATTAATTAAAATTATAAAACACTAGCTCAAGAACTTTACGAAAATTTGCCATGGGCTGGATTTGGCCAGTGGATTATAGTCTGTCAGTCCTGGTATGAAAAAATAGATAAGCAGGCGCCTGGAAGGCTCAGTCAGTTAAGCGTCTGCCTTCAGTTCAGGTCATGATCCCAGGGTCCTGCTCAACTGGGAGCTCAATTCTTCTGCCTCTTCCCCTGCTTGTGCTCTCTCTCTCAAATAAAAAAATAAAATCTGTTCAAGATATGTCCCCAAAGGCAAAGGAAACAAAAGCGAAAATGAACTTTTGGGACTTCATCAAGATCAAAAGCTTCTGCACAGCAAAGCAAACAGCCAACAAAACAAAGAGGCAACCCACGGAATGGGAGAAGATATTTGCAAATGACAGTACAGACAAAAGGTTGATATCCAGGATCTATAAAGAACTTCTCAAACTCACACACAAAACAGATAATCATATCAAAAAATGGGCAGAAGATATGAACAGACACTTCTCCAATGAAGACATACAAATGGCTATCAGACACATGAAAAAGTGTTCCTCATCACTAGCCATCAGGGAGATTCAAATGAAAACCACATTGAGATATCACCTTACACCAGTTAGAATGGCCAAAATTAACAAGACAGGAAACAACGTGTGTTGGAGGGGATGTGGAGAAAGGGGAACCCTCTTACACTGTTGGTGGGAATGCAAGTTGGTGCAGCCACTTTGGAGAACAGTGTGGAGATTCCTCAAGAAATTAAAAATAGAGCTTCCCTATGACCCTGCAATTGCACTACTGGGTATTTACCCCAAAGATACAGATGTAGTGAAAAGAAGGGCCATCTGTACCCCAAAGTTTATAGCAGCAATGGTCACGGTCGCCAAACTGTGGAAAGAACCAAGATGCCCTTCAACGGACAAATGGATAAGGAAGATGTGGTCCATATACACTATGGAGTATGATGCCTCCATCAGAAAGGATGAATCCCCAACTTTTGTAGCAACATGGACGGGACTGGAAGAGATTATGCTGAGTGAAGTAAGTCAAGCAGAGAGAGTCAATTATCATATGGTTTCACTTATTTGTGGAGCATAACAAATAGCATGGAGGACAAGGGGAGATGGAGAGGAGAAGGGAGTTGAGGGAAATTGGAAAGGGAGGTGAACCACGAGAGACTATGGACTCTGAAAAACAACCTGAGCATTTTGAAGGGGTGGGGGGTGGGAGGATGGGGGAACCAGGTGGTGGGTATTAAGGAGGGCACATATTGCATGGAGCACTGGGTGTGGCGCAAAAACAATGAATTCTGTTACGCTGAAAAGAAATTTTTAAAAATTTTCAAAAAAAATATATTTCTATAAAAAAATATAAAGAAGATTTGTGAATGGCAAATAAGCACATGACAAGAAGCACACAAAAAGACACTCAAAGGGGCGCCTGGGTGGCTCAGTGGGTTAAGCCGCTGCCTTCGGCTCAGGTCATGATCTCAGAGTCCTGGG